CACAGACGCTTCATGTTTTGTGCAGCTTATTGCTGCTATAGTAAAAATAAATTACTGTCGGAGTCGTTTCACATATTTTACAGTGTTAATGTTAACCTATTTGTAATAAATAAATGATATTTTAATTATTACAATTTTTATGTTGCTGAAACAAAGTCAACAGTGAATTAGTTAATCCAACATCTGGAGTTAATCTAGTTCAAAAGTGATAGCTTTGTAGTGTTGGAAGGATGTGATTTAATTATTTTCCTAATAGAAAAGTTAGAAACCATTAATCATTCTTTTTATTATATGTTGTCTTAGTCTGTGTTGTTTCAGTTTGGATTATTTTCAAGAGAATTTGTGTGATGGTTATTTCTTTTTGTTTGTGTCTCGACAGTTTAGGCTGCAGCTGCAAATGTCTCCTTAGTGTGTGCTTATAGGAGCAGAAGACTCTGAACACAGACCAGAAAAGGCCAACACAGACCACTTGATCTGGGGTGGTGATGGGCTGTCATGTCGTGTCCCTGAACCCAGCAGGGTGCAAGAGGTTACTTGACCTTTCAACCTTGGGGTCAGGTGACTCTTTGAGGTCACTGAATAGGGAGCAAGTGTCAGGAATGGGTTAAAAAGGCTGAGCTGTGAAGGTGACATGTCCGGGCATGCTCCCTTAAAGGAGAGGGAGAGATTGGAGTCATTAGCTGCCTTATCATGTGCCAAATTTCCTCAATCCGATTAAATATGTGCATGTAAACGTGGCTAGTGATTGTCATCAGTGTGATGCTAAAATTATAAAAGAAATTAAAAATATATTTTTTAAATAGCAACTTGCTTGGCTTTTTCCTCATTAATAAGATTTTTTAAAAGTTCAGTGATCATTCATTGACTCTAGATTAATCTGTTATTAATTGCATTGATGTTTTTATTTTATTTTCAGTCACAAAAGCCTTGTCAGGGCCATGTGTATTTAGAGTTATGGTTTATGCAGAATTTGTTTTTGTAGTTTCTACTTCTAAATCTGATCTGAAGACTCGTGGTGTACACTGTCATTGCATATTGATTTATTTATTCATTTGATTTTATTCTGGTTTAACACACCTAGAATAAAAGTGTAGCTACAAAACTAATATTTATACAGGCTACATTTAAAAATCTAATTCCATTTTTAGTCACTTTGTTCTTGATAGTTATGTAAGTCTTGAGTGTGTGTTATCAGACACATTTCAATAATAAACCGTACATGTTATATTATTGTGTGACTGATGTAGATGTGAAACCATAGAAATTAGAATGTTGTATAATTTCAAAAGTTTCAGTTTATGTGTGACGGCTCACCGTCTTTCTCAGCTCTGCCACAGATTAATAGTTTGACCCCTGACCTGCAGTTTTATTTGTGCATAGTCATTTCATTTACAGGACCTGACTTCCTGTTTTCATATTTGGGACGGTAACATTAAATAACAATAATTCAGAAAAAAAATTGAAACAATATTGAAGTATCTAAACATATTTGATGAAGATCGTGAGTTTCATGGTCGTTTGATGGTCTGCTGTAGATGCTGCTGTTCTTCTGTTACCATCCTTCTGTAAAGCCCTTGAAGATAAATGTGTCAAATGACTGGGGGTCCTGTGTTTCTGGTAGGTGGATAAAACAGCTCATGATAAACTGAGATGTGCTATAGTTTGTGTGGGGAAAAAGAAGAAGAGTGACTTGTCTGTCTGTTTTTAGATGAAAGTGTGTTGTGGTGCAGTTAGATTGTGTCAGGTCCATTTCAGATGAAGGTCATCATCATAGGTCCATTGAGACCTCTAGTGGCAACACGATCGCCACATTTACGCTCCACTGGGACTGGTTCAAGATAAAAGTGGGTGTTATTGGATTGGTCAGAAAGCAAGGTTAAGCGGTTTGTTTTGTAAATGTTTACCTGGAAATCCTGAAACATTTAGCTGCAAATGTTGATTTTATTTTTTCTGCGTTATAACTAAAGGTCTGATAGTCACACCACATCCCTTATTCCAGCTTCACTGCTAAACAAACAGCAGGGTTAGACGTTTGTTTTATTTTATTTATTTTGGGGGTTATTCTTGTTTTATCCCATCAACGTTGCACACAGCAGTCTCATGGGAAGTAATGACTTAATCAGTCCTGATCTTTTAAAGATGCTGTGCTTTTTCACCCATGTGTTTATCTGCATCTGAACATTACAGGATGCTTACATACAAAATGCTCATCCATTGTTACTTTCTATCAAGAAATTTTTATTTAAATAAAATAAACATTTGTTTTTGTAGTTTTGGAAATACATACCTGCACATCGTTCATTGTTGTAGGCATTTGGTGCAGCTATTGTCCATGTTTTTCATCTATTCCATTAAAAGAAATTACTTAATGTGAAACAAACACATCTGAAATAAAAGTCGTTTATTACACTAGATCCTAACGTTACACCATGTGTGGAGCTCTGTCGGAGCTGCTTACTGTTGTGGCAACAGACTGGAAAAGCCCCCTTCTTGTTTCAACATGACAACACCTCTGCATTAGCCAATAAAGGGATATTTTCTGAGTTGGGTATGGATGAGCATTGTGGTCTCATAAAGAAAGTCCCGACCCCATCTTCCCACAGCGTTGGGACATGAAGCCTAGTCGTGTCACCCAGCATCAAAGCCTCCTCTTGTGACAATCTCTGCAGCTGCTCTCAACGCTCTCAGAGCAGAAGATCATTCTCAGATGCTTTAATGTCTTTTCATTCATTTGCATCTTCTTTATGTTTCAGTTGGGGACCCGCATCGAGATGGATTCACTCCTGATCATCCGAGCATCTTTAGGTGGATAAATGGTGGTTGTGATCCACTCATAAGGAACCAGGAGCAAAGGGAAGGTGCCAGGAGTTCAGGTGGTGTCGTAGCAGCACGGAATGGTTTGTGGGTTACTCTGAGATGCAGGCCGTACCGTGCTGCCGCAATAAAGCCTGAAAATACAACAAAGCCATCAGCTGGCGTTTCCTTCTCAGCTATGGACAGGTAGGTTGGAGAATAATGGCTCAGGATTTGCCGGTCGCCTTACTGTAGCAGCACGTAAATATTGGAGTTAAGACTAACTGAATTCTCCAGTATTGATCGTGCTGCTGAAGCAAAGCTGACCAATCTCTACCTGTTAAGAATAAAATGAATCAGGTATTAGATGCACCTGTGAGAAGAATGCAGGTCAAGTTAGTTCTCACACTTTTAAACTGCTGTTGTTTCTGCACACTTTGAAAATAAAAGTTTCAAATGATTTTGTCTGGAATGTGTTTTTTTTTATTACAAAGTGATATTTTTACTGTGATAAAGTGGTGTGACTGTTTGAAGAATCTTTAAAAAACACATCTGATGGCCTGCTTGGCCTGCAGCCTGCCAGGAGGAGGCCTGATCTAGCAATTCACGCTGATTAAAACGCAGCTGCATTTAGCTCAGTTTTTATTTTTGTCCTAAAATATGTTTTAATAATTCTGCATAGTTTCACCTGACGACCTTATCTATTTGCTCCTTAAAAAAACTGCTCTGCGCATATGACGCTGTCTGCTGCTGCGGTTCCGTGTGTTTGCGCCCATCTCGCTGCTTTAAAACTTCCGTTGTACCGGACATCCAGTGACGATAATCCCATATTAGGATTACTTTTAAACTATGTAAAAAAAATTTCAGGCCGTAAGGATAATGTGATGAGAGATTATAAATATGCACGTTATAGAATTGCGGTAGATTTGTTTTTTATTTTTAATTCGTGAGTTAAACCTGTGAAATAAAAGCACCAGAATTTCCTTTTGACGTTTGAATTTGATAAATTACTGTTAATTTCTGGAGCGTAATGTGTTGACTTTAAATAAATTTTCAAATTGAAGCGCAGATTTATTAGAGTCCAAATGTGCTCGGGCCCTAATTTTACACACACACACTAATCGGTTGCTTTTACCTTCGATCCGGCCTCTTTTTGACTCGGAATCACCTTTTCTTTACATCACCAAATCAAATAGATTGACATTTTTTAAACAGCGTTTTTGCATCCATTTTTACGCACGCGCTCGATTTGTGTTGACTCTTTAGCCACGTCCCTATATTGTATTTAAAGTAGATTTTAGTGTGTGTGTGTGTGTGTTAATCACATAAGGAGAACCATATTTTATTTACATCCCTTATAGATAATTTTATATTAAATGGTGTAACTTACACGTGAGGGTACTTTGAATTAACACGTTCTCCATATTTGCCTGTTTTTTTATTTTTAGAATCTCTTAAATTGTAATTTTAAGATTATACACTTCTACATTTGTTGTGGCGCCGTTTTCACCTTGCAGAACTATATGATTTCAGAACTAATGAAACATAGCCTACCTTTTCCAAAATAATTCGTGAAAAATCCTGCAAGGCTTGTTCCACTTGCGCACATTGAAGATGAGGATGTGCCTATTTTAAACCAATTGTAAAGTTAGTCGAATTTCCTTTGGGTATTCAAATTTGCGTGACAGTGCAATTGAAAATATATGTGGACTTGTGTTGTTTTTATCTTATATCTGCCCAGCAACAGAAATCTATATATGTACAGGCGCGCCATGACGCATCCTGTAATAAGGCGTGTGCTGACATCAATGATTCACTTCGTGGTCTGGTTTGGGGGCTTTTCATTCCTGTAGAGGGAAATAAAATGTTAAACATTTTTCAACAAAATTCACAGTTTTTTCGATCTGAGCTACTTTATTTAGAGAGTTCACAGAGCACTCAAACAGTTTTTAGTGTTCATTTGAAAATAAATGAGACCGCAGATGTTTATTGTGGAATAAAGCAGCATGTTATTTTGGGGGGGTTTATGAAAGCATTTTTGGAGATCTGCTCCTTTTTTCTCCCTGATGAATATTTCACACGGGCCCTGTTACATAACTAACCTTGAGGAGGTTGCAGCGTCATGGCGCATCCTGTGGGAGGCCATGAATCAACTGCGCTTCTTTACCCAGTTTGATGCTCTAAATGAAAACAGCCATAGAGGTGACTCAAATTTCTCGGGTTTATTTGTGTTCAGATATATAAAAAAAGGTACAAAAGAATACCAGATTTAGTAAAAGGTGAAGTAAATTAGTGTTGGACTGAAAAATGAGGTTGATTTTAAGGCTCGTTTGAGGCAAAAGACAGATTGTAAACACTAAATTATAAGTTTTAGATGTTATATTTAAAATGAAATGAAGATTATAATTTACATCTGTGCATAAAGTGGACAGTGCTGTCAATGAACTTGTTGACATATTCCTGACCTGCATCCACCATATCTGCGCATATCTCAGTCACTTTTCGCATGTAGGCGTCAGCGTGCAAAGAACGTTTAGTGGGAAACACTTGGATCATTGAGGTCATTTCTGTAGTGTCCAGCAGCAGCGGCAGGATGAGGAGTGACATCGGCAGCGTGATCAGGAATAAAACGATCCATCTGCGCACCGTGATCCATGCGGATCGCGTTCTGGAACCACTCTCACACGGGACTGAGATCTTGTCCACTTCACTGAGCCTGAGAGAATCCCACCTTTTCACGTCAAACTCGCTCACAAGTGGCCCGACGTCCATGTCTTTGCGTGAGGGCAGGGGAGTCTCCTTGAGGACTTTCATTTTCTCTCGGAACTCTTGCATCTGCTGCAGAAAGCACAGGGGTTCGGATGCGCTCCTGAAGGATTCGATGATGCTGAGCGCACCTCTCTGCTCCTCCAGCGCTGCGCTCAGCTTGGTGATCTCCGGGTCGTACGCCTGCATCACCACCAACTTCAGGGTTTCAAAATCGGACAGGATCTCGCTCTTTTTGCACTCGAGGGAACTGATGAGTTTATCAAAATAGTCTGCCACTTTCTCTGCGTCCTTGGTGATGGACCGGAGCGCCTTTTTCTTACTTGCTTGTAGTGTCTCCAGACAGGACAGCATGTCCGCGCTCCTCCAGCTCTTCACCTCATGCTGCAGCTCTCCAAATGCCTTCTTCTCTTGCTCATAAGCATCATCCAGGGAGCAGAATCCGTGCCCTTTATGCTCATCCGTCGTTGCGCAAAAGCCACAAATGAGCCTCAAATCAGTTGCGCAGAACATATTCAGGGGCTGGTCACAGTGTTGTTTACAAACCTTCATTTTTGGCATCACCTTTATTTTGCTGAACTTGTCAACTATTCCGCGCAGAGAATAGTTGATCTGCAGGCTATTTGCGCCGTTGTGGGGGGTTTCTTTGCGGCATGTGGGGCATTTGATGGGAATTCTGAAAGCTGGTCCCCTGATTCCTTCCAAGAGTCCATCCAGGCATTTCTTGCAGAAGCTGTGTGAGCACAGCAACACCCGCGGGTCCTCGAAGAGTCCACAGCAAACCGGACAGGTCAGCTCCTCTTCCAGCTGCTCCATGACGTCCTGTAAACACATCACCGGCGCGTCAAATACAGACCTAGACAGTCAGATTCAATAATCACTCACACTCACATGGATGCCATGCCACTTCGTAAGCCACAAAATTATTATCAAAAACACAGCAGCATCGCAAACGATACATATTTTGAATGGCAATCATGTTCCGGCTGAAGCATTTCCCTCCTGAAAGTGAAACTGACTTGCATCGCGGTGCCTGCGTAAAACCCAGGCATGAGCGCTGACAACGACTCCGTTTGCGCATTTATGGCTGAGCGACATCCTGTTTAGGGATCTGCTACCCTTTATCGCTTGGAAAGGTTTTTAGAAAGGTCAAGTCACCAAATCAGAAAATGGAAAGTCCTAAAAATGTGTTTCTCAGTAGACAGAGCTGACTGAGCCCTTAAATCAAACGACGCGTCTCCCTCGCTCTAATCCAGTGCGGTAAATTATCAACAATCAGCTCGCTCCTTGTTGGCAAGGCACCGAAAGCAGGGCTTATGACAGATTTTGCAAGCGCATAGTAACATGCAACTACTGGACCAAAAGAATCGCTCACCAGCTGCTGAGACGCTCAGTGCAACGCAATCATGGCGCTTGTTGCTGTGCAGACTTCGCCCTTTCCGGGTATGCGGTTAACCATTTCAGGCGCACATTAAAATGTGAAATATTGCGTTTCCCTTCTATTTGTGCGCACACGAGACATCCATCGTGGTGTGTGTCGATTTTCACATCGCGTATGTGTGTTTCTGATCATTTGGCAGCTTCTTTGTTGAGTACTTGAGTGTTTTCGTTTTTGGTCGCTGTAGGGTAATTCGCAGAGGATCCCTGGCAGTCGGATGGGGGAGGGGCTGTTGCTATGCAAAACGTTACAGCGTGAAAAACTGTCAAGTAGGTTATGGTTCCAGCCTGGCATCCACTTTTTTAACTTTGGACTACTTTATGTGTTAGTAATCATCAAAATATGCAACTGTGTGCACTTACAGCTGCAATAACTGGGATGATAAATAACACCAGTCAGCGCCGCGCTGAGCAAACGTAAAAGGTACTCCTCGGTTCAGCAACAGAAGCTGATCAGTGTGCTGTCATGGGCTGATTTATTACAGTTAGAACGCCAAATCTAAACTCCGATTCCCACATATTCAACTTTTAGCACATTCTGTGTTATGTAACATCAATACTCAATAGTTACTTAGTCACGTGGAAAAATGTTGACCTTGATTTTCTTCCCTTGTTTCCATGCCATCAGGAGCAACTGCCTATCTTAGCAGCTGTGATTGGATACCGTGAGGCAGCAAGGCACACTTGTAGTTCTGACTATTTCCGCTAGGAGCCGGTGTTGTATAACGGCGGATCTTTTCATGCTGTGACCGCCTGTGCTCTTTGGTTTTCTGGGTTCGTTTCCGGATGTTTGGCTAGTGTGGAAGCAAGAATGGCTGCGATGTTTACGTGTTGTTTTGGCTGCTGCGGAGAAGGCGGTTCGGGGCATGTTCCCCTCAAAGAGATGCCCACTGTTCAGTTAGACACTCATCACATGGGTAAGGAAGGTTTTATGAGCTGCAAGGACCTTATACAGACGCAGTTTGATATCTAAACGTATCTTAATAGCGCGTCAATCCCGCTGCTAAAATGAGCTAGCAAAAATGCTATTGATGTTCTTCGATTGTAGTCTTGTTGGTTTCAAATGCTTACTTTTAGCCCCACTGAGACAAAATAATATAATTAATTTGGCACAAAAGCTTACAAGATGTATTCGTTTTGTCTTTGTTAATTTTATTTTGTAGTACAATTAACGAGACGTGGTTACAGTCGAGAAAAAATAACCTCTTACAGATTTCTTCAGCTTTTGCATTTTGATTAAGATCAACACACAGATTTCAACATCAAATAAACATAACCTAACTAAATACGTGTTTTGTGTGTGTTTTTAAGTTATTACCAATTTTTTAAAATATTAAGCGCGATTAATCACATTATTTATAAGAGCTTCAGTTTCGCTAGCCACACCCAGTCCAGATTACTATCAGATAGGTGAAAATAAGAAACCACTTGTATATGTATATATAACCTACCTGACAACACAAGAGGGGTTAAAACATCTATAAAAATTTAAAAAGAAAAGGATTTTAAGAGCAGAAAAACCTCAAACATTCTTTTGTCGTGATTACTATCACAGTTCATGACTCCACTTTGGCCTCCATGGCAGAAATCCTTGCTGACCAAAAAGTACACTAAGGCCTTTCTTGCATTTAACAAAAAAGTCTAGGTAATCTCAAGGATATTTGGGAAATGTGTCATTGGATTGATGAGATAAAAGTGGAACCTTCTGCAAAGTGTGTGTCCTGTATCAGATGTGAAACTAACACTACATTTTTAGTAACAGTTAAAGTAACTCTTGTGTTTGACTGTAGCTACATCATAGCAACAGTCAAACATGGTGGTGGGAGTGTAGTGGTTTGGGGCTGCTTCAGGACCTGGAACCATGAATTCAGCTGTAGCTGAAGATCCTGTTAGATAATATTTTACCTTTGACCCTAAACAGCTGGAAACCCCTCCAATGTGGCAAAATTTAAACAATATTGTAAAAAAATTGGGGCAAAACTGAGAGACTCAGTACCAAGGGGGAATAGATTTTTCCTCACACAGCCAGGTTGGATTAGCCTAGTGAACTAGACCAAATTCTTGCTTTGCAAAGTTTTTAAATAATACATTTATTTAGTCTGGCTTGCCAGGCTAAGGTTGGATAGCATTTTCTGCTTAATAATTAAATGAATAAATCATTTAAAAACAACATTTTGGATGTGCATACATTGAAATTTGTTTGATCTAAAGTGTGGCATAAACTAATTTGAAAAAATCTGAAATATATCACAGAAGTGTATCTCAGACTTAAAATAAATAAGTTCTACAGGTCAAAAAGTTAAACTATTTCAGGTTTAACATTTAACAACATAGATTACACATTTAGATAAATAAACCCACTTTTGGATGGGGCTCCAGGAGAATGGACATCAGTCAGCATTACATTACCAACTTATTCATTAGTTAACTTAAAGCTTCTTTCTGGAGTGTTTCTCTTATCCGATGGCACCATCTAGTGGCTGACAAGCATATCTCACAAAAAATCTGTTGCTCTGTTTGTTTAAGATGGCGACTTCATCTTTCTGTTTATAAATGTGCTTCTGTAGCCGACAAACAGCTAAAATGCGCTGTTTTACGAGTATTATTCTCATGTCATGTTGTGTTCTCATATATTTATATTTTAGAGACTTGTCTGTAAAAAGTTCATCAACTCTGCATCAGCTGAAGTAATCCTTAAATTTGAAGCAAGTAAGCGGTAGTCTAACACTATTGGTTAGTTCTGGTTGGTGCTCAGTTTTGCACTGAGTTCTGCGAGGCAGGGGGCGTGCTTAGCACACACCAAAAAAATGGCGTATCGCTTACATTTGATCACAGTACATGATAAGATAATCACTTTTACGGATTTCTGAAAAATCATACATCATTTCTGAAATTAAAGCAGCTTTAATAAAAATAAGCTTTAAAACATAAACTAATTATTTTTTATGATTTTCTTACAGGCACTGATGTTGTGATTGTAAAGAGCGGCCGGAGGATATGTGGCACTGGGGGTTGCCTTGCCAATGCTCCGTTGCACCAGAACAAAAGTTATTTTGAGTTTAAGATCCAGTCCAGCGGTAAGTGCTTGATTTTCACCATCTACAGCCTTCCTGCATCTAAAATTTTTTTTTTTTTTTGTCTAATTGAAACTCTTCTTTGTTCTCTGATTATTTTAACCGTCCCACTTTGTTATTTGGGGTCAGATGGACCCCTGGTGTATTTTTTTTTTTATTTAAAATTGTTTTGAGGGGTGCGTCTCTTCACCCCTGCCAACGGATAAACTTTAAACCCTGTTTAACCACCCCCTGTACTGGCAGGGTCACTTGATAGGACAGTGGAAGGGTTAAAGAGCTCCGTCCCTCAGCGCTACTCCATGGGGGGGGGGGGGGGGGGATGCGCACGTTCCGCTGCTGTTTCTCACCAGTATCAGCTGATGGAGGGCTTTAGTTTCGTTGCGCCGTTCGTATCAGCAGACACGGTAGGGGAGGGGGCGGGGCATGACGCTTAGCATGATAGGTGGCCAAGCAAAGCTTGGCGGGCCGCCAGGCTTATAAAGCGCTCAGGGAAACCCTGAGTATCAGTTCGATAAATAAAACCGGGCCGATATTTACAACCAATATTTTTTCAATCTCATCTCCATTTGTTTGCCTGTTTCAGAGGGTGAGGGGGGTGATGTGTAATTGTTTAGTCATGTGAAGAGTGAATGAAATCATCTCAGAACTGTAAATTTGTGTGTTGTGTGTACATATCGTAAATTCAGCTTTAATGATTTTCATTCTATACAAAATCTGCTGATTTTAGAAGCATTAATGTCAGCATATCGATATCGGCAAATATCGGTATCGGCCATGACAATGATCTTGTCAGATATCGTATTTGCCCAAAAATTTCATTTCAGTGTATCACTACTACAAACTCCAGCTTGTCCAGACATCGAGTCCACGGGTTTCCAATTCAGAAAAATGGATGTGATGGGAGTTCAACATCCCTCCCTTCCTCCAGAAAAGGATGGGCAGCTTTTAAAAATTCCTAACGGGCCATGGAAGCTGGTTTCTGGGTCGTATTCAGATCAGAACCACCTGTGCCTAGTTCCAGAACGGAATGAAAGGCGTCTCTGTCCCTCTCTAAAGCGCTGAGCTACGTTACGTAAACGGCTCTTGGAGAGTTCAGACGCTTTTTTTCCTCCTCTCCTTCCCATCTTATCCCAAGGCTCTTTGTCTGTCTTTGGGTGCACGGCGCTTCTGCATTTTTTCAGGAAAAATGGAAATTATTAAAATGGACCTGGTCAGTTGGTCTCTCAATGCGACTGACAAAATTTTTTCAACGATGAGAACGGGAGAAGGGGCTCCCGGTTGCCCCTCTGGGACAGAGCCAGCTGGGCATATCATGGACTCCTGGAAACAGTGGAACCTGATCTGCTTATCTCAAATGTCTGTAGAGGATTCTGAAGACGTCTGGATATTCGTGGTGTTGGTGTCAGGTTTCGTGCTGTTTGGCCTGAGCGGTTACCTGGCTTACCGGAAAATTAACGAGCTGTCGAGGAATATTGGCTCTTTCCCGGAGCTCAGGGATGGATTACACCAGGTTTTGAATGCACAGACTCATATAATTGTCGAGATGAGTCCTAAGCTTGGAACTTTGGCTTAGATTCAGACTCTGGCACAGAAGGTTGATGCCGTCAAGGATAGAGTTGACGGATCAGCACGGATTGGGATAGATTAATCTACGCCATTATTGGATTCAGAGGGGTTGGAGATCAACAGAACTTTAAGACAGAGAGGAAATTATCTCTGTCTGGCCCCAAAACAAGTTCTTATTTGAATCTGGTGCCCTTGAGCCTGTGAGGCTGAAGTGATTACTCCCCCTCAGAAGAAATGTGGAATGCTGCCGTCGCCATGGTAACTGTGCCTCCTTATCCCTGCCTGGGCGGGACTGCGACCGATGATGGCTGTGGAATCGTTTCCAGGAGTCACTGTGCTCTCTAAACCCAACTACCTCCCTCCCCTGTCCAAACGGAGGTGACGAGCGCTGCTTATCGCGGCTGCATGCACTGATGTGAGGAGAGTCCCCAACCCTACCTCCCCACCTAGTGGACACTTATGATGTGTAATGTCTTAAGTCTGTTGCTTTTCTGTCTGAGGTGTTCTTTGCATAGCAAAACTGCCCTCCCTGTGGAGGGTAACTCTGAAGTGCCTTTTCTTTCCTCCACCTGAACCAATCCTCATGTAAACCTCTCTGATCTCTATTAAGGTAGCGCGACTCGGGTTGCGAATGACCACAGTCACCAATTCTTGTCATGTGTCTTTGCCTATGTACAGGTGCTGGCCAGTAAATTAGAATATCATCAAAAGGTTGAAAATATTTCAGTAATTCCATTCAAAACGTGAAACTTGTACATTATATTCATGCAATGCACACAGACCAATGTATTTCCGATGTTTATTACGTTTAATTTTGATATTTATAGGTGACAACCAATGAAAACATCAAATCTGGTATCTCAGAAAATTAGAATATTCTAAAGGCCAATGAAAAAATGTTTGTTTCTCTAATGTTGGCCAACTGAAAAGAATGAACATGAAAAGAATGTGCATGTATAGCACTCAATACTTAGTCGGGGCTCCTTTTGCCTCAATAACTGCAGTAATGCGGCGTGGCATGGACTCGATCAGTCTGTGGCACTGCTCAGGTGTTATGAGAGCCCAGGTTGCTCTGATAGTCGTCTTCAGCTCCTCTGCATTGTTGGGTCTAGCGTATTGCATCCTCCGCTTCACAATACCCCATAGATTTTCTATGGGGTTAAGGTCAGGCGAGTTTGCTGGCCAATCAAGGACAGGGATACCATGGTCCTTGAACCAGGTGCTGGTGGTTTTGGCACTGTGTGCAGGTGCCAAGTCCTGTTGAAAGGTGAAGTCTGCATCCCCATAAAGTTGGTCAGCAGCAGGAAGCATGAAGTGCTCTAAAACTTCCTGGTAGACGGCTGCATTGACCCTGGACCTCAGGAAACAGAGTGGGCCAACACCGGCAGATGACATGGCACCCCACACCATCACTGACGGTGGAAACTTTACACTGGACCTCATGCAACGTGGATTCTGTGCTTCTCCGCTCTTCCTCCAGACTCTGGGTCCTTGATTTCCAAAGGAAATGCAGAACTTGCTTTCATCAGAAAACATAACTTTGGACCACTCAGCATCAGTCCAGTCCTTTTTGTCCTTGGCCCAGGCGAGACGCTTCTTGCGCTGTTTCTTGTTCAAGAGTGGCTTGACACACGGAATGCGACACCTGAATCCCATGTCTTTCATGAGTCTCCTCGTGGTGGTTCTTGAAGCGCTGACTCCAGCTGCAGTCCACTCTTTGTGGATCTCCCCCACATTTTTGAATGGGTTTGTCGTCACAATTCTCTGCAGGGTGCGGTTATCCCTAGAGCTTGTACACTTTTTTTCTACCACATTTTTTCCGTCCCTTCGCCTGTCTGTTAATGTGCTTGGACACAGAGCTCTGCGAACAGCCAGCTTCTTTAGCAATCACCTTTTGTGTCTTGCCCTCCTTGTGCAAGGTGTCAATGATTGTCTTTTGGACAGCTGTTAAGTCAGAAGTCTTCCCCATGATTGTGGTGCCTTCAAAACAAGACTGAGGGACCTTTTAAAGGCCTTTGCAGGTGTTTTGAGTAAATCAGCTGATTAGAGTGGCAGCAGGTGTCTTCTATATTCAGCCTTTTCAGAATATTCTAATTTTTTGAGATACCAAATTTGGAGTTTTCATTAGTTGTCACTTATGAATATCAAATTTAAATGTAATGAACATTGGAAATACATTGGTCTGTGTGCATTGCATGAATATAATGTACAAGTTTCACGTTTTGAATGGAATTACTGAAATATTTTCAACCTTTTGATGATATTCTAATTTACTGGCCAGCACCTGTATGTCTGATCTCAGAATTGTGTGTACTGAAACTAATTTCCCTCTGGGATTAATAAAGTTTCTTTGAATTAGAATTTTAATGAATGAGTAGGAAACAGCTGAAAAAGCTCATTATTGTTTATTATTGTCAAGAATCCATATTATTTTAACTGACCAATAGTATTTTTAATTCACTGGTACATGACAGTAATCTGTACAATATTGTGATGTTAGCACACAAGTTTGAGCTAGCTATCTAGCTAGCATCGTTCACCCACCGGGACACCTGCTCTGTCTACTGATTCTCCTGACAGCACAACTTGTTCTCTTTTCTTTGTCCATCGTTTCTCCCTCTGGCTTGTCTCTGCTCTCTGGGGCAAGCAGCAGGCTCGTGACTGTATGGTTGTGGTCCATCATGAGTATAATTATAAACATTTAAAGTTTCCTCTGTGTCAGAGCCAGCATTTTTCTCTGGATCAAGCTAATCTGTTTCTCCAAACATTGGTTCAAGGGAGACTCTAACCTGCAATTTGCATTTTAATGTTACATTCAGACAAAATGAGTTTGAGTTCTGGATCCTGATGCAATTTGATGATTGCGTTCAAAAAAGTGACTCAAACTTTGATACATTTGTTTTGTTTTATGTTTAGGTGTTTGGGGAATTGGTGTGGCCACTCAGAAAGTGAATCTTAACCAAGTGCCTTTGGGCAGAGACGCCAACAGCCTGGTTCTGAGGCATGATGGGTCTGTCTACCACAATAACGAAGAGAAGAACCGGCTACCTGCAAACAGCCTTCCACAGGAGGGCGACATTGTGGTAGGAGATGCTTGTACCTTCACATCAAAGCTGTGGTCTGTTATATGAAGTACTTTTAAACAGTTTTCCTATGAATCTGTGGCTGGGTAATGACGTAATGATTTAAAGATTTATGAGCTGTTGCTGATGTGTTCCTGCGTTTTGCTAAAGTTGTTTGAAAACTTTAAAGTAACTCAAGACTTTAGCTTGACACTAATGGTAGGATAATGCCGATTTAAGATGAAAGTATTTATCTTCTTTTCTAAAGATTTCTGCATTTTAGAGGAATTTTACTATGAAAAGATTCAGCTGATTTCATTACTGACTTCTTCTGTTTTCACCAGGGCATGACATATGACCACGTGGAGCTGAACTTATATCTTAATGGGAAGAACATGCATTGTCCTGCGTCAGGGATCCGAGGCACCGTGTACCCCGTTGTTTACGGTGAGTTTGTGTTCCTTTACTAAAAAGTCAACTAATGTTTGTTATCTGCAGGATCACATTTACCAGTATTACTTTAATTGTAGTACAGATAAGCCTAATTATTTAGTTTTTGCTTCTACCATGCAGCTGGTTGGTATTTAAATGAGTAGTGTCAACATTTATGTATTTTAGAGGTAATTAGTTGTATCTGAATTGGATAATATTGAATGTATCTAAATCATTCAATTTTTTCCTATATTCATAAAAATGCTGATTAAAAAACAAATCGGGCACCTGTGTGGCCAACTGCCGCCACGACTAGACTGAAGAAATGACCCGAAGGACCCCAACACCGTTTTTTTTAATGTTTTGAATTTGTTTTATATTTGAAGTTCAATAAATATTGAGATTTATTGACCTATTTAATTTATTTTTCACACAGTGAGTGTTCAGTTGTCTTTCACAATCAGTGTGCTGCTAAACCGTATGAATATTGGCCTAATAACTGGCTTTAGATATCGGCCATCAGCCTTAAAATACCCTTATCGGTCGGCCTTTACTCTGAATTCCTTCAGATGACAAACGTGCTCTTCTCGTAGCAGTTACATTTTATTCCACAAGAGGGCAGTATGTGGCTGTGAGAGGAAAACATTAATTAGATGAAATGATGCAGCTGATATTAGGGCTGCTCGATTATGGCAAAAAAAATCACGATTATTGTGACTGAAATTGAGATCTCGATTATTTAAGACAATTTTTCAATTTATGCTGATTTTATTTGTTTTTATTCAGTCATAAAACTGACTGACAATCGGGACAAAATTAAATAAGAAACGAGATGATCACTAAAATAACTCCTGATTATCAGTATAAAAAGACCAATATAATTATAGCTCATAGTCTATGACCCAAGGGCTATAAACCTTGGTTTAACTCATTTAAGTCTAACCAGTACAGACCCAAATACCAATATCTTGCAAATACTGACAGCAAGAATTATACAGTGGCATTTATAACAAATAAATTGATGTTCACAAAATGTTGCGTAACATTTATTTAGTCGTGTGAAGGTGCTGTAGGAGAGTGCACTAGCACCGTGTCCTCAGAGAGATTAGTTATTAGTTATCAGTGAGGAACTTATTTCTACCTTATTGATAAATATTTATTTACAAGTCCATCAGTTAATGTAATAATTGTCCCAACCACAGCTGCACCCCCCACCCCAGTCTCACAGCAATCAGGGGCAAGCTGCACATGTGGTTAGCGCGCCGCACATTTAGCCGTTTTTAGCGGCTCAGGAGTCCGCAGGTGCGGTGTGTGTGTCACTCACTCTGGTTAATCCAACAGGGAGCCGGCTCTGAGAGCTGTTTCTGTAGCAACTGACACATCACTACATCATTCCCTTTCCTAATGTCCTGAAGAACGGTCCGGAGCGCAGGCGGAGTGTTTAGCTAACCTGCAGGAAATGTCGACGACAGTTATCCAGAAAGTAGCTAAGGGTTACCAGAGATGTTTCTGAGGTGTTCGCTAGGTACTTTTGAGATTTAAAAAGTCAAGAAGGGGGTCTGAAAAGCTGTTAGAAACAGCGTCAAAGTCGCTAAGTTAGCAACACTGTGGGAGGAGTGCTTCATTTGCAACTCAGGGCAGCGCAAGTGGGAGGAGCAAATAATCGGCTTGTTTTGTTTGTATAATCGTTCAAAACTCAGATCGTATTTGTGATTAAAATTCGATTAATTGCACAGCCCTAGCTGATATAATTATTAAATGGCTTTTACTGAGTTTATTAGTGAAAAATACTTTTTTACATTTCTGTTGGCAAACAAGTATCACATCAGTTCAGAATGTTTTATTTTCTTTTTAATGAAATCGGCTCAAGCAAAGGTAATTCTCACCTATATACTTTTGTTTTTTCTCATGTCAGAAAAGCGTGTTTAGTATTTGGCTGGAAATCGTATTTATTATGATAGAAACCAAAAACTCATCTGTTTAAATCTAAGTGAGTCTACTGTCTAGGAAAAGGAAACGGTTTTATATTTATGGTGCATATTGAGTAGGATATTATAGTGTGTTTCATTCTTTTTAGTGTAAAAACCTTGTGTCAGAGTGTTTTATTGTGTGTTTTGAACCTTTTTATTGTTTCAGTGGACGACAGTGCCATCTTAGACTGCCAGTTTAGTGACTTCTACCACACGCCTCCACAAGGATTTGAGAAGATTCTCTTTGAGCAGCAAATCTTCTGAATGAACACTTCAGCTGCTGATTGTGTTGCTGACCTCCTCTGAGTTTTATCACAATCTGTGACACTACAGTTCGCCCTTGATCAGATATTATCGTTATATGTGGCTTGAGTGTGTTTCATGTCTATCTACCAGTTTCCCTTTTCTTTACTGCTGCTCTGAACCAGGGGGTTGTGAGTTTTACTCCCCTGTTGTTACCATCTGCCCTGGTAGAAAACTGTAAAGAAGTTGCCTTGTGAGTGTGTGGTGATGAAACTACGAACAACTCTCGTTAGCTGCTTACATCACTGTGTGTATATAGATACCAGACAGTGGCTGTAATGGTCAAGTGTTCCCATTTTCAGGATCAGAAGCCATGTTTACTAATTCATTCACTCCCTTGTAACCTGCTAAAGCTTTAGACATCAGCATATATCCTGTATTTATTTCTGTTGATTTCACATTAAAATCGAGGGGACTTTTTTTGGACCAGCAGTTGTTGGGTTAATAAAGGTTGAGTGATAAAAAGCCAGAAGACTAAGGTGTTGTTTGTGTAACGATCTGGGTTTAAACACGGTTTCGTACTAACAGCCGTAGAGCAGTTAACATTCCAGGTGACACTGTGGTCTGATGGTGCTGAATTATGAGCTAGAAAGTGTTAATGAGTTGAGATTTCTTTTCAGATCACCCTTCTAACTAATCCTTCTCATATCCTGTTAATTTATTCAGAAGCTGATGCTAGTTGGGTCTGATTGGACAGATATCTACAGTTGTCACTATGTTGTGTTATTGTGCGATGCGTATCTGCTGCTGAAGTGTGACAGTCAAATATTTCAACTGCTTGTCTTTGCACTAATGTTGTACAGATCCAAATATTGTTGATCCAATAAACATTTGTTTTTGGAGGTGCAACTTTTGGCTCTTATTGTTTTTTTTCTTAATCAAACTTTTCTTTGTATCACTTCCATCCATTTATCCATTTTCATCCACTTACCTGGGGTTGGATTAGCACCCTAAGCAGAGAGGCCCAGACTTCCCTCTCCCCAGCCACTTTGGCCATCTCCTCTGGGGGAATCCTAATAGGCCTTTTCCACCGACCAAACTGGCACGGAATGGGAAGGATCGGGTCGCTTAAGGTGTTCCCTGGCCAGCTGAGAGACATAGTCCCTCCAGCGTGTCCTTCCCAGATGCCTGAGCCAACTCACCTCAGCTGGCTCCTCTTGATGGAAAGGAGCAGCGGATCTACTCCGAGCCCCTCCCGGATGATTGAGCTTCTCTCCCCACCCTGCAGAGAGAAGTCATTTCGGCTGCTTGTATCCATTATCTCATTCTTTCTGTCACAAAGCTATAGATGAGGGTAGGAACATAGGTTGACTGGTAAATCCTGAGCTCTGCCTTCCGGCTCAGCTCTCTCTTCACCACTTTTATTGGTAAATGTCATTTAGCGCTAGGGCTGCACGATATTAGGAAAACCTACGATATTCGATAGCAATGATTGATATTGCGATGATGATATTACTTGCGATAAATAATTTAACGGAACAAAAATCAAAAACAAATAGATTAAAAAATCATATAAATGAGAAAAGCAAAAGATGTGAGAAAAGGGAAAAAGAAAATGAACAAGAAAAGGCGATCAGTGGATCCCGGGAAAAGCAGAATCAGTAAGAAGAGCAGAACAAAGCAAACTCAGGTGTTTGCCAACCATCAAAATTAAGTGCCGTCTGTCTCGGGGGCGGGCATCTGACCTATGAGAACCCACCCATTTGGCCAAATAGGTCAAGAGCTCTATTTGATTTGTTAAAAAAACATCATGCGTCCGTTTGAATGACAGAATGCGTAGCAAACATTTGAGCTGACCATTCATTACAATATTTATCTGTTCTTTGCGATATGCATATTGTGCATGCTGATATCGCAATAACGATATATTTACGATATATTGTGCAGCCCTATTTAGCGCCTTCTAGGGTTCAACAACAACCAATGTACCCATAGTTGCTCTGGGGTGCACCAGGCCCTCCGACCAACTGCAGGAAAGGCGGGTTAAGTCTACTCAAGGACACAACGACTGCGACAGATGAGTCTCGAATCTGCAACCCTCCAGTTACAGGGTGGGCACTAGTGTTGTAGTCAAGACCAAACTAGCTGAGACCAACACGGCGTTACCAAGATCAGAGACGAGGTTAAGATATTTAGAGGTTGAGACCATTACAAAGTTAATATCAAAAGAATATTGTAATAAAAGTATATATTTTTTATTATTTTTAGTCATGTTCTTGAAAATATGTTTTTCTGCCATGAAATTACATTAATTAATTAGGAACAGCTGAACTAAAATCCTGAACTTCATGGTAGCAAAACACCCTACCAGTAAACCCATGAAGAGTTTGTTGCTGGGGACCTGTCAATACACTACAGTGTATATTGCAGATGTATAATCATGTATGGATAATTAATAATTATCCCTACCACCCATCAAGCAACACTCAAGTTTATCAATATTGTCGCGGACAACTTTAAAATCTAACTTGCTTGTGGATTTTGGTGATGGGACCCAAAATTCCTGGAGGCACCCCTGCACCCACCCACTATAAATCTGCACCTATGGCAGCTGGAGAAAATTGTTACGCTACCATTGATTTTAATTTGGTATTCTCTCATCAGTAAAACATGGACAAAATACCGGTCTCGTAAAAAAAACAGTCTGCTCAGGCCAAGACGAGACAGAGCGAAAATGCCTTCGATACCAAGATGACACCAATAACATAAAAATAAGGCTTCAAGACTGATCTCGACGACTACAACACTAACTCCTCTGTCACATTCACCCACGTACATACACATGTAGCTGCTGCAAAGTAATGAGTAAAGCAACCAGCAGCGAGAGCTGGTGTCTGTTCTTTGCTGTTTTTTGAGCACCTTTTAAAACCACTTGATTATAAAATATGCTGATGACGCTGTAATTGTGGGTCTGCTCAGAAATGCAAGCAGACACGGTCCAGCCATTTAGTCTTTTAAGACACACATCTGCAACCTGAAAAACAAAGGACACGATTTCAGAAAAGCCATCAGTACTCCATCAACCAGAACAAAAGGACAAACCATTGATCAGGTGCCAACTTACCAATTTATTGGGAAAACGATGGGTTCAAATTTAACTTTTGAAAAAGGGTGAGTTTGTGTGCAGGAAGAGGCAGCAGCTATACTGTTTGTGGAATTTAGCTCGTTTTCAAATTGATGAAATAAAAAAAAAGATTACAATATTTTAGGGGTTTTATTGAATCTTTACAGTATGCTCTAATGGGAAACAGGCTTCAACACAAATGGTTGTTTTCCGCTTGGTCCTAGAGCTCAACCAGTGTCAATTTAATACAGCGTAATATTGTTTTTGGAAGGTAAAAAGTGCAGGGGTCAAAACTTGACTTTGGAAAAAGTAGGGGGGACATGTCTCCCTGTCCCCCCCCCACTCCCCCCGCCAAAATTACCTCCATGTGTTTGATGCCTTTCTAATTTCTGACAATTAATTGTTTTTTTGTGTGTTTGTGGAAGCGTTGTTTCCAGCTGTTCTCTCTCCTTGACCAGGGCAGCTGTAAAATATATTTTAAAAGTCTGCAATCCAATCACAGTTGTCCTTTTCCACAACCTGAGTGCCAGGGCGATGTGGCCTAAAATCAATATCACGATACTTCGAGGATTTTACCTCGATACCGATAAATGGACGATAATTACAGGTATGTACAGAAACAAAAGTTGTCCACTAGATGGGGCTTTCACTTGTATGACGTTGAGTCAAATTTTTACGTGACTCAAAGGGACATGAATGTTGCCAACTTACACACATCTTTTCATTTTTTTACTATCAAATTTTTAACATGGGAAAAATGATCTCGATAAGAGTCAGAATTTTTGATAATGATACATTTTCGATTTGTTGCCCAGCACTACTCATGCATAATGTAACAAACTGATTGCTGAACCCTTTTCTTTTGGATTTCCTAATAAGAGAGAAGTATCCACTGTCATGTAGAACGTAGAAGGGTGCACACTTTCCAAAAAGCTACCAAACGACTTTTTATTGTAATAAAGATTTATTAGGCACCATGGCATCAATTTCCAGTTCATCTGCTTGCTTTGATCTCAGGTGTTGGAAACCAGGACAGCCGATGTAACTCCTCCCCCCACTCTGCGATCTCCTCCTCCTCTCCGGAGCCAGCCCAGCCGCAGCAGCACAGGAGCTGCCGTGCCTCGTCTTTCACGGAGGAGATACAGACAGCCGGAGTAAAATCCAAACCCCGTACAGCCATGGCAGACAACGCCGGCTTGGAAAACCACCGCATCAAGAGCTTTAAAAATAAGGGACGTGATGTCGAGGTGAGCTCTTTTTGAGGATATGCGTTTAAATGTCTTTAATCTTAATATTTTAATGTAGATGGGAAAAGCCGACTACCGTCAGGCCTTGCTTGGTAGCCTGGCCCCGGCTGAAACTTCCCAGCCTGCCTGTTAGCTAAGCTACCACAGGGTGGTCGCCATCAAAGATTTCATTACATGAAAATTAAACTCTTAAAGACGACAGCTGTGATGGACTTCAGCGTGGATAAGTCATAAACCTCAGCAACCACTGTGACTGAAAGCTGGATCATAGTTGGGCTTTTAGAACTATGAGAATTAGGGCAGGCGATGTAGCTGTCAGTGCCGGTGTTTTAACGAAAAAGGTACCCCTGCCATTAAAAGCACACTAGTCGGAAATGCGTTATAAATTAAACCATGGTTTGTTTTACTTAACTAAATTAACCACGTTTTCTCCACATATAAGTCAAGTATCGTTTATTCTGTAAAGCTATGCAGTTAATTAGATTGTAATGATGTATTCGCAGTAGTTATGTTGAGGTAGGCTGCTAGGATGCAGTTTTTTTTTTACCCTGGAAGTCTTCGAAATCATGCATCATAATGTACATTGTTTTTTTCCCCCTATAATGTACGTTTAAAAAAATCTTGGCCATAAATAGACGTTACCCAGTGACTAAAGCAACTTATCTCGTTTCTGAACGTTAAGAATATTACAAATTTAGGTCTAAATGTAACGATAATTTAAGTAATCCTAACAAGCTGTCCTTAAATACGCTTCCCATGATGGGTTTCTTTGGCGACTGGTGTACTTTTTTCGACACGACACTAGCTAACTTTAGCTAGCTAGTTTGATGGACACCGGTCTCAAGCGAGGCGGGGCCTACCCGGCTTCAAAATCGCGATATTTCCAATCTTTTTATGCCACCCCACTGTAAACAAAAATGCTAACCAAAGAACGTCACATATAATCAATATTATATGGACAAGTGTGATTTGGGTGGATCGGTGACGGGTGCTCGTTTACCCTAGCCACCCCTCCTCGTTAGCATGCAAACGCGAGCCTGCCAACCGAGCAGCTAGTGTTGTGTCTATCTGTTTTTCTTTAAATATTTGTATTTTCAGTCACCATTAAATTAGGTGACTTTCCTCACAAAAGCAAAGGATAACAAGCTAGCCATTCTGTTAACTATAACCTGTAGTAAAAGGTTATGTCGAATCACAAATGCCCTAACTCAGCATTTCTGTAAAAATTTAAATGTAGTTTACCGTTTTATTGTAAGTCACATTCTAGAAAACACTAGATTTATTTTGTGTACCTACTAGCATATCTAAAATGCTGCATCTTTCACTGAATTTGTCTAAATTGCTCATTGACACTGTAGCCAAAGCAGTTGGTAAAGGATTTGTTTCAAGTTTAAACAAACAAAAAATAGCAAATCTATCATTTCTGGGTTAAAAAATGTTCAAATCAAATGACTAATCTACTCTGGACTTGTTCAAATTATCTGTGAAATGTAAACAATTTTCTTTTAGGGCATTTCTCTCAGCCACAGGGGGGATTACTAACAAAAACATACTTGTTTTAGTGTTGTTCTAATTTATCGGTAATCCCAAGATAATCCACAAACAAAGGTATGTCTGAGAATGCCCTTTCCAAATTCACCAGACGGGAGTTTCACCATCAGAGTGGTGCCTGTATTGGTTGTTTTGAAACTGGAAGTGTGTGTTCGACAAGCACATGGCTACTGGGATCGAGCCTCTGCCAAAGTGCATTCCTGATGCTATTTCAGGCATCTTGGAAGTCTGACCCAGTCCTTCTCAGAACCTCGGCATGAAATTGGGTTTTTGAAAGTGGGTGACTCAGACTACAGCAAATTTGTTTTAGGTCAGCTGCAAAAGAGTGCATTTCATTTTTAACACCTATTGAACTGAATGAGGTCCCACACCCAGACTTAGTATCTTAGTTTTGAATATTGAAAAAGTATTCCATTAATTAGAGTTTTGAAATCTTTTGCTCGACAGATGAAATGTGAGCATTGCTGAAATCATGTGATAATTCACATCTGTATTTAAGAAGCAGTTTAGTTCGGATCAGTACCCCTGGCATTATCATTGTTTTGCAGTGGTCTGGAGCCGCTTCTCTGTTATGACAGCCCAAAGTTACGTAAGAGGCTATTTAGGATGGCAACATGAACCTCTTTAACAGTCACAAGATCTTAGACCATCTCAAAATGCTCTGGATGAGCGAGAAACCCAACAGATGCACTTATACAGCAAAACTATTAAACAGTTTCTCATCACCTGGACTAAAATGAGTTGATTTTCACCTCAAACACAAAGATACGGTCATTTATTGTAACATGTTACATTTTTATCTCTTGTTGTTTTGTAAGACTTCCATCACACTTAAATGCCAGTGTGAAACTATATAATCTTGTTCACATTCTTTGTATTTTCTCCCGTTTCAGACTATGAGAAGACATCGAAACGAAGTGACAGTTGAGTTGAGAAAGGTGAGAAAAGATTCACACGACAGTATTCAGGAACACACAAGCAAATGCACGCACATAATCTGTCCGCGTAAGGCCGATCTGTTTCTGACTCTGGAACAGCAAAGAACGCACATCAGTTTTAAACTTCTGACAACATATAAACAACGTCAAATAGATGATAGCGTTAGTTATTGGATATTGACCGATTTGAGTTTTTCTGTTGCCGATATCTGGAGGTCCTGGACAGCCGATGGCCGCTAAGTGCTGTCGATTTTCACAGTTTAAGTTCTAAATGTTTTCCACCTTATCTGCATGATTAAGTGTCACCAATAACAGTGGCTGCACAACATTTCTGAAACCCTGAATGTAATCAACTGTTTAATCTATAATTAAAATGGTAATAAAGCTTTTATTAAGTAGATGTTTTTCAGGAACTTAAATATATATTTAAAAATAATTCTGCTGCACATGGATGTGCCTTTAAATTGGTTCTACTAAAAAGGCATATTGGTCGACGCTGACCTCAGAACCTCAGAAGTCAGATCTCAGACCTGGAAATGACGTCACACCCAAGTAAACCACGTTCTAGTCACCGTTTTCGGAGAAGCGGGGATCCCATCATGGCGACGCCCTCAAACGGCTCTTTTGTTAGCTCATAATAAACATCACTTGTTTACTTTTTAATGTAACATTGATTTTAAATGCACTCTTATGAATGTGTCTTGTAAAATAAACACAATGCAACTAAAACTTGATGATCCAGGAAGAGGAGCAGGGCCTGATGCCATTTTGGATGGCAGCTCTCTGGATCAACGTCCAGTGCAGAGAGGCATTTTCCATAGAGGCTGAATTCATTCCGAGTTGCCATTTAGTCGTGAATCTTCTGTCTTCAGCCTCAGATTATTTAATCCAGATTACTTTGGGAAACTAAGCATTTAACTCTGTGATTTATGTAATTCCACAGCTTCAATTTGCTAGTTCAGTTTTTAGATTGAAAATGAGATGGTTCATTATTACTCTTTATTTTGTTAAATTTGCTAGCACACAGTGATGTCAAACATTTTACAACTAGTAATAATAGAGAATTTCATTTATTGGTTCTTTTCAAGACACTAGAGCATTTTATTTTACAAGAAATGTTTGTTTCTATAATTTATTTAAACGATGGCAATTATCCCCATGTCTCAATTGCACTGTTGCCGTTTGCTAGACTGGACCGCCATTCCTATGCCTCCTCATGGGAAGCAAAGGGCCTGGGGCCTCATTGATCAAGCTTGCTTACTCACAAAACGGGGTCGGAAAACAGCGTAAGCAACTTTCCACGCAAACTTTGGGATTTATGAAAGAAAACTTAGCAGAAAAATGTACGCAACTTTTAAGTTGACTAAGGACCTGGCTTACACACATGTTGGACATGGAGAGCACCTGCAGTGCTGCTGCTGAGAAGGATACAATTATGAAATCCTGCAGCATTATCACTTGTACTGCTTTGTTTTCACACAGAACAAGTTACTGACTGGCTTTCAAAGTAAAATGTTACTTCCTATTTGTTCTTGTTCACCTTCTAAACTATTTAACCCTTTTTTTAAACAAATAAAAGAATTAATGATGCACCGATATTAAATTTTTGGGCCAATATTGATATCCGATATTAAGATCACTGTTGTGGCCGATAACAGATATACTGACAATAATGCTTCTAAAAACAGCAGATTTTGTATAGAATGAAATTACTAAAGCTGAATTTATGTTATTATGTACACACACCACACACATTTACGCTTCTGAGATAATGACTAAACAAATACCCCCCACACACACACACCACACACACACACACACCCTGTGAAACAGATGGAATGGAAAAAATAAGATGGAAAAAAAATCAATTGTTAATATCGGCCCAGTTTTCTTTATTGGACCGATACCGAAATATATTAAAAAAAAGTCTTAACATCGGCCGATACCGATATGATGCCAATTTATTGTGCATCCCTAAAAAGAATATTCATAAAAATGTCTGTTAGATTTGGTATTAACATTTTCATCCCCAGTTTTTCATTTCACAATCTGGTGATGCTCATTTAAAGAGAGAGATGGTTAGATATATTTAGCATGACATTCAGAAGAAAAATGGATGGCTTTGAATTGGTAAAAGAATGGTTTTTGAATCAAATCATTTAACTGAGAGCCAGTGGAGCTTCTGCAATGTGGGACGCGATTGGTTGGTGAATTGGTGTCTGGAGGTGATGGGGCGGTCAAAAACTAAAGTTTGTGGCTAGATTTGTGAGGGAAATGCATCCATGTGGGCTGTGACCGGGTTTTGTACAATAGTGGAAACACTTTTAAGGGACAGGCGGATGAATATTAGGCAAATGGAGACCTGCAGCCTGACGTGAGCGTGAAACGATAAGGAGCTGTTGAAGATGACTTCACTGAGGAGTGTTGGTTTATTGCCAGGGAGAAGCTTCTGATTTACTGTTTGATTCTAAGAAGAACATAGTCTGAAAGGTAAGAGAGGGTTTTGTTGGAAAGCCAGTTGGGTGTCATCAACATAGCTGCAGACATTTCTGTTGGACGTGTGAGAAAAGTGTTTTTCAGCATTTGAAAACAAACGGAGCTTTGAAAAAAAAGGAAGTTGTTTTCTTGGCAGGGCCGCGTGCAGACATCCAGATTAGCTTGTTCACGAGCGGCGTTCAAATATTCCGTGAACTTTGAACTCAATCAAGCTGATTCTGTTGGGGAGTAAACGGCTGCTTCATACTTCAGTGACTTGTTGATGTAAAGAGATGGGGGGGGGGGGGGGGGGGGCAAGATGTCTGCCGTGAGGTCATTCTGTCCACCAGACGTTGACTTAATCATCTGATTATCTCACAACCTCTCTAGAAGACCGTGTCATAAAATTGACAAATGATGAACTGGTTCATGTGGACGTGTGATTTATGTGCTGAGCATGAACTCCTCTGAGTTTTTATCTGTGTGAGTTGAGCTTTGAACTGGATCTTTGGTAAAGCCTTCTCTTGTGTACTGAAGTGGTTCTGAGTCGAGCACATTCCGTGTTCAGGGCAGCGGGAATGCGCCGGCTGATTAGTCATCAGTGACGCACATCAGCATGATGCACCAGAATGTAGGGCAGGGGAATCTCCTCCTACCCCTGACTCGCTCGCCTCCCAAACTCTGTGTGTGTGTGTGTGTGTGTGTGTGTGTGTGTGTGTGTGTGTGTGTGTGTGTGTGTGTTTTGAGGGAATCAAAGATAAACATGTCTGTTTTGTCTCGCTACCTGATATGAATGGAGTTGTGCTTAAGAAAGTAAACCTAGTTTATTTTTTTTTAGATAACGCTCTTCAATAATTCCTTTAAGATTTTCTGAACACTGATGGGTTCTCTCTTCTGTTCTTCCACTGATGTTTGTTTTCTTATTCGTCAGAATAAACGAGACGAGCATTTACTGAAGAAGAGAAATGTCCCACAGGAGGAGAGTCTGGAGGACTCTGATGTCGACTCTGACTTCAAAGGAGTAAGTGTGTGTGTGTGTGCGCGTGTGTGTTTTGTAATGAAGTGTGCAAATTATTAAATGTGCTTCTACATTTTCAATTTTTACAGCAAAATGTTACACTTGATGCAATCCTACAGGTGAGCTTTTTCATTCTAGCCGTCCTGTGCTCTCAGATGAGCTGCTGTTCTGTTCTATCTGACACTCTCGTGTTTTTGTCCCCGCAGAATGCAACCAGTGATAATGCAGTTATACAGCTCAGTGCTGTACAGGCAGCCAGGTCGGGGGCTCTTCAGACGTCGTTTATGTCGACATTTCTTGTGATTGTTTACCATGAAATGAAAGTTTGTTCGTTTTCGTGTGTTTTGTCAGAAAACTGCTCTCCAGCGACAGAAACCCTCCCATCGATGACTTGATAAAGTCCGGCATCCTGCCTATATTAGTCAAATGCCTGGAACGGGACGATAAGTATGTGTTTTACTTAAGTTATTCTCAACTTTTCTACATTTTTATTATTTTTTTAATCTGCAGTAAGGTTTGGGTAAAAACAAACGTCCGTGCACACCGTGTGTCCACGTGTGAGTGTGAGCAGAGGCATGCAGGGTAGCTGGTTGGTCCTCTCAGCTCAGGCCAAAGCCAAATTTATCAACATTCCTGTCTGTTGGAGTTCCTTAATTCCCAGGACCCCGTGCTCGCTGAGGGCAGAGCGTGAATAGATCGGTTACAGAAACTTCTTAAGAAGGAACGGTTGAGTTTTTACCACGGTTCTCCACAACAAATGCTTCATTTTTGTACAGTTTCCAGGATCATCTGTATTCACTATTAGAAAATATTACGGCAGAGTCAGTAGACACATTCCCCGGAGATAATTAAGTTGCATTTCCATGATTATGAGGATGGAAGAAGTTGTTCTTTCCACACGAGAGGAAAATAACATCAACACCATCACCATCAAACGAGACGCTCTGCCTGTCTGCTGCAACAGGAGGACGAGGAAAGGCAATAAGGCTTTGAATGAATTCATTAGTTTTAAATAAGTTTGATTTATTTCTTTTGTTTGTATTGTGAATGTACCATATTTATGCAGTATAGAGAAAACTTTTGACTAAAAGAAAAAAAAAGAGAAATTGAAATTTACATTAAAGGTTCCCTATCGTGCTATTTTAAACCCTTGAGAGCAAAGGTAGACACATTATATGATACATTTTTACTGCTGCCACTATTGAGATGTCATTTATGTTAAATACAAGTTATTTTCGTCAGCTTTAAATCGTTTTTTTTTCTCCACTGAAACTCCGCTCACGCCCGCTCCGACAGAGCATCTTAGGCAGGTCAGGTGTTGCGTTGGCTGTGCTAGTCCAGTGGTTAAGGTGTCTTATCTGCTATCTCCGTTTCGCCATGTGCTGATGTGGGTTTGACTCCTGGTGGCGTCTGCAGTAATTTATTCATCCAGCTGAAGCAGATGAAATGTTTTTATATTTTATTTATTTTCCACAAAATATTTTGTCTCTAACATCTTTGAATTTGGTCATTTCCAAGCAGCGTTTTAGTTGATTTTCTCTGCTCACCTCACATGAACTCGCACTGGCTAAGTAGAAAGAAAAAGTAAACAACCAACCGATTAGTCCTTTTAGAACAGGTTTACCTTTAAAGGGTTGAAACGTCGCACTGGCAAGTGTAGCTAATAAGAAGACAAAAATGTACTGCTTAGACCAGGATGTGAACCCGCCCGACACTAACCTCTAGACAAGCAAGTCCGTTAGAGGACGATGGTCGCCTAGGCCACTGTGCTGGCCAGGGGAGACGCGTTTCAGGCCGGATACCAGCTTCCGGAAGAGGAGCAGGGCCTGATGATATAGTTTCCATTAGGTTTTACAGGATTTTCAAAGTGAAACTCAAAATTTGCAGCTGAAACAGGAAAATGCATGAATGCAGCCAAAAACGAGTTAGTTTGTTTTTGTCATGAGGAAACAACCAACTTACTTGGTAAAAAGCTCCGAAAAGCAGATTTTCCTGCTTTTTGTCTTTCTATTGTATAAGTTAAACGTTTAAAATGTTATTTAATTTAATATAATTTCTTCGTTACAGTCCCTCTCTTCAGTTTGAGGCAGCTTGGGCTCTGACTAACATCGCCTCTGGGACGTCGGCACAGACTCAGGCTGTGGTTAAGTCCAGTAAGTTGACCCTCCTCCAGTCTGTGTTTATTTTCTGTCTGCAGTTTGTGACGAAAGCTTTTCCCCCAATCGGCTTTTTTAAAAGATAGCTTCATTCTAAAATACCAGCCTGGTGTTCGTATCTGACACAAAAAGGAACCATAATTGGCATTGGTGAGCACGTTGGTGTAGCTCACGTATATCAGATTGCTCTAAATTAATCAATTAAAACTCTGCGTTTTTGCCTGATGCAAAACGAACTGCTTTTATCAGATCTGTCATTATTTTAGAGGATGTTGAACCAGGTACTTCATGTCTGCGTCTCAGAATCAGAAACAAAAATGGTAACTAATAAGAAGCAGAACGTCTCCTTCACAATGTTGGTGGGAGGATCGACACCTTGGACATTCGTCAAGCTGGTGTTTTTATTCTTGGCTCGTTTTACAGAACATCGGGGGGGGGGGGGGGGGGGAAGTCCTGGGGTCTCATTTATCAAACATTGCATAGAATCCTTGCATGATCAATCGGGTCACAGTGACAGGACACACACACTGTCACAGATGCATGACATTCTGTCTCAATCTGTCCCCCTGCTGATTTCTGCGTTCCGTATTCTGCGCTTCAGGCTGTGTGCGTGTGTGTGCGTGCGGGGGGTCTTGTTCTTTGTGGAAACGAAGCAGTACAAGTGATAATGCTGCATAATTTTATCCTTCTCAGCAGCAGCACTGCAGGTGCTCTGCATGTCTAACATGTGTGTAAGCCAGGTCCTTAGTCAACTTAAAGTTGCGTACATTTTTCCGCTGTTTTCTTTCATGAATCCCAAAGATTGTGTGGAAAGTTGCTTACGCAGTTTTCCGACTGTGTTTTGTGCGTAAGCAAGCTTGATAAACGAGGCCCCAGCTCAGATGTTGTGTAAAATTCCCGAGTAAATGAGACCCATCATCAATACTGATCCGAACTGGGACCAGTCCATCATGTTTCTGTGTGATGTTGAGAGCAGGAATCCTAGATTTTTTTTAATTTTGGCTTTAAATCTTCTCCAGGAAACCTGCTCCACAAGCTGCCACCTAGTTCTGACTTAAGTTTTTTTCGTATCCAGATGCGGTCCCCTTGTTCCTGCGGCTGCTCCACTCTCCTCACCAGAACGTGTGTGAACAGGCCGTTTGGGCTCTGGGAAACATTATCGGTGAGTACGACCCTCGGGCGGAACGTAGGCTGGGGCAAATGCAGCCGTGATGCTGAGATCTCTCCTGTCGCCTGCTCAGGTGATGGTCCACAGTGCAGGGATTATGTCATTTCACTGGGCGTGGTCAAGCCCCTGCTCTCTTTCATCAACCCGTCTATCCCCATCACCTTCCTCCGCAACGTCACCTGGGTCATTGTTAACCTCTGCCGCAACAAGGATCCGCCACCGCCCATGGAGACTGTGCAAGAGGTGGGCGTGTCTGGGCACGCTTTTGTATACTAGACCTATCTTTGTGTTGTTGTCTGCGTTCACCCAGGATAGTCTTAGACTAGTGACAGTTCAAGCTGTTTGTTTCTGCTCTGTTCTTTGATTTGACTTAAAATCCTCTCGTCTTTGCCCACAGATTCTGCCGGCCCTCTGTGTGCTTATATATCACACTGATATTAATGTAAGTTTCTGCCTGCAACGTGCTCGTCCCATGCATGTCTTTTCTCAGAGTTGTTAACTGTATTATGTTGGTGTGTGTAGATACTAGTAGACACAGTCTGGGCTCTGTCTTATCTGACGGACGGAGGCAACGAGCAGATCCAAATGGTCATTGATTCTGGGGTCGTTCCATTTCTTGTGCCTCTCCTCAGCCATCAGGAGGTCAAAGTTCAGGTAAAATTGTTTTCATGCAGAGCTCTTTGCTGTTTTAATGCGTTAATTTTAATCGGCGAATTAATCTGAAGTTGTCTCGTCATTCTTTCTCCTGCAAATCCAGACAGCAGCTCTGAGGGCCGTCGGGAACATCGTGACGGGAACAGACGAGCAGACACAGGTGGTTCTAAACTGTGATGTTCTCTCGCACTTCCCCAACCTGCTCACCCACCCTAAAGAAAAGATCAACAAGGTAATTCGAACTGGAAACGGGACTCTTAAGGCTCCTCGCATTTCCGTCCCTTTACGAATGAGAGGGGTGTGGTTTTTGTAAAACAATCATCACTTCCGACGAAATACACCCACAGAAGTCTTCCTTACATTTAATATAACACCTGTTATGGAAGTAAGATCGTTAAAGTGAGTCATTAATGCAAAATGAAGCATAAACGAAGCTGAATTGGATCCAGATGTGGCTGAAAGGCTGTTTTGGGGATGAAGTTAAGGGGCTGATCTTGACTGCTTGTGTTTGCAGGAAGCAGTCTGGTTCTTGTCCAACATTACAGCAGGGAACCAGCAGCAGGTCCAGGCTGTGATCGATGCTGGGTTAATTCCTATGGTCATCCACCAACTGGCTAAGGTTTGTGCACGGCACGGGAGCAGCAGAAAACCTAAAAACTCTCGTAGTTATTCACCTTTCTCCACAGATGGGGGCGGATCAGGCTTTAGAAATATGTTTTATGATTTTTACACATTGTGAAACGGATTCTTTCAGTTCAGGCAAATAAAAATCTCATAAGATGGTCACAAATGTGGTGAGCATCTGACAATATGCTCTGGAAGTGGATCTCAATGACAGCCTGGTTCTCCACAGGGCGACTTTGGCACTCAGAAGGAGGCAGCATGGGCCATCAGCAACCTCACCATCAGTGGGAGGAAAGACCAGGTGAGCTGGAGCCTTACACTTTTAACTTGGCAACACGACCACACTTTTAAATGTTTATCTGAATATTTCACATCCTGTAAGTCCATGTAAATGATTTAAGGAGGCCGTCCTCCAGACTTGTAACCACATATCTGTGTTACGATAAAGTGGTGTGTATGTATGGGTTTGTGTAGGTGGAGTTCCTGGTGGAGCAGAACGTCATCCCTCCGTTCTGCAGCCTGCTGTCGGTGAAAGACTCTCAGGTGGTGCAGGTCGTCCTGGACGGCCTGAAGAACATCCTCATCATGGCTGGAGACGAAGCCAGCACCATCACTGAGATCATAGAGGAGTGTGGAGGTTATTTAGTCATTTCCATTTAACTTGATGCTCTTGGGTTTACAACATTTTGGTGATAACACAAGATATCTTTTATGTTTTTTATGTGAAGGTTTGGAGAAAATAGAAAATTTGCAGCAGCATGAGAACGAAGACATCTACAAACTAGCCTTTGAGATTATTGATCAGTACTTTTCAGGAGATGATGTAAGTTCACCATCAGGGATTTCTTTTTCTACTTCAGGTTTTTCCCTCTGCAGCTTGGTGTGATATCTCCTAGTTTCTTTTCCAGATTGACGAAGACCCTAGCTTGATCCCTGAGACCACTCAAGGAGGAACCTTCAACTTTGATCCAGCGTCCAACATGCAAACAAAGGAGTTTAATTTCTAAAAGCCGGAGGATTTTTGGTTCCCATCGCTGCATGGGTACTCTGTAATCATTGCATCCATCTCCAACAATCTGGCAATCCGGTACTGAAGGATTTTCAAAGCATCACTTCGACATGGATCTCACCACTGAGATGCTTTCTCCACCTCTGCACTGCGGGGTCGTTTTATTTATTTTTTTCCTTAAGTTTTTTTCTCCTTTTCTTCAAAGTGTCATTCTTTTTGGAGCAGTGCGATTCTTTTTTTTTTTGGAGTCCTGGTGATCCGACAGGCGCCTCGGCAACCCGCGCGAGGACGGCTGTCGGTGCCGCCAGAGCTCCTGAGGATCCGTCGAAGGTAAAAAAAGCAGAAGGAAGAAAAAGCCTTGGCAAGATTTGTTTGCCAATTGTCAAGTCTTCACTAAAGACAACACAAGCACATTTACAAACACAAACAGGTGCGCACACACACACAGTTATATATAAATATATACATATATGTAAACACACTTTTGACACTTAAGACTCGTGTGCTTATTTCTGTTAGAAATTATATCACACATGGGGAAGAAATACTGCTGTTTGTTGGGTTATTTTTGTGCTCTCCCTCCCCTGGATTGTCTTTTGGTGTACCCCCCCCCCCCCCCGACACACACTCGCACACAAAAACACTTGGTCACACTGATTCCTAAAGGCCAGGCACACTCCTCTTTCACTCGTCTAAAGATTTAATCCCAGAGCTAAGCCATGATCACCCACAGACCCCCCACTGCCCTCCCAGGAGAGTCTTTGGGCAAATCGGGGAAAAGAAAGGGCTCCAAGGCAAAAAGGAGAAGACTTCGTGGCAAACTCACTAACGGGGACTTCTGACTCAGACGTCACTTTTTTCCTGTACTGAATTTAAGAAAATATCTAAAATGTGAAGAAATGCCATTTTATTATTTTTTTTAACCACATTCAGCTGCAAACTGTTTCTGAGTCAGAAGGTAGATTTTGGTATAAATGGACGTGGAACCCTGTCACACAGGGAATGGCAACAGAGACCTTAAGAGAAGAGGAATATCACTTTCTCCTGTGTGTTCCCACCTGGCTATGTGAACAGATTTTTTTGTTTTGTTTTTGAGACTCTCCTGTAATGTGAAAACTCTGAAAGGGGGAGGAGCTTAACAAAAACGTATGTTAAAGCGAAAAGTCCAGAATTGCTCATCTGACCATAAGGTTGTGTTTTATTTTTGTTTTAATCCTCTCAGAACAAATGTTTCATGTCTCAGCTTTGTACGGTTGGGTCTGTTGGTTTTTACTTTATTCAGTCTTATGCACACGTCTGAGAGGCACGACAGTGTCTGCCTGCAGAAAGGGACCCACGGAGTGCAGGTCCTGATCTTTTATTGTACTTAACTACTTTTGATGAAGAGGTCACATGTCATCACTCAATTTGAATAATTGTACAAAACGTGATGTGTATCTCTCCTTGCCGTCTAATGAGTATATGAATATAAATATATGTAAACATAAAGCCTGTACAAAGCTGCTGCAGCTGACAGTCATTGTATGAATAACTGTCAAAGATGGCAGGGGATGTTTTTTTTTTGAGCAATATTTCTTTGTTTTGTTTGTTTTTGACTTGTAATGACATGCTGATTGGATCAGAATAGGCTCTTATTTAGTCCGTTCTGTTGTGGTGACGGTTTATTTTTATTTTTAATGTACCGTCCCATGTTCTGTTTTATTTGGGTTTAAGGTGTCAAACTTTAATCCCAACTCTTGTCCTGGTCTCAGATTTTATAATCTGCTGATTGGCTGCTAACTACTTAGTGGGGGTCAGAGCGGCGACGGGGGTGGTCACACCGGGGCTTTAAATAATGGGTGTGGCTGTAACAAGCGGCCATGTTTTTTTGCTTTTGTTTGGGGGACTAGTTTATATTACTGAACAAAGCTATAGAAGGGGTGTACAGTCATGAACTAGCAGACTAGACCGAGCCACTTTAAAGATTTACAATTTTGTTGCCTTGTATCTGCATTTGATACAAGCTTATGTTTGCAAGATTTTTACTTGCTAATGAAAAGTTGTTTTAAATAAAATAGGAGAAAAGCAACAGACAGCATTTTGGCCTCTGATTGTTTGTATCTTTTTATAAATTTTAGATTGAATTCTTCTCTTTAAGGTGGCTCATTGATGCGTTCAACTCGTGCATATTAAAGACAATAATGAGTTGAAAAATCATTGTGCCTTTTTGTGTTTTTCATTTGAACTAAAGCTGAGTTTTACTGAATTCAGAGCAACGGGAGAGTCTTCAGACAGAGATCTGGCTGTGAGAACGGTCAGTGCTGCTCTCTGCTGTTGGAACAATGGCTCCTTTTCCAATCTCACCCACTGAACTTTGTAATACACCATTCCTTCCACTCATTTCCCTCTTCAACACCACAATTTCCATTTAAGGGATTTTGGTATCCTCATCTCGCCCTCAGGACATCATCTGTGTTTCTGACTAACCAAAATAAACATGCTGTTTTAGCTGTTGCAACGTGTTTTGATTCATAAACACACAAGCCGTTAAAGTTGGATGGAAGTTGACATGAGAAGCTTTGTCTGTAGATGATTTTCAGGTGTTTAAGAAAAACTGATCAGTGCTTTCCACTTGCAGACTTCCAAGTCAGATCATGAGCAACGATTAGCTCAGCCTTCAAGAGTATAAATAAATGAGGTTTCTGTTTGGTGTGACATAAGGAAAAAAGCCCATGATAATCCTGCTTGACCTAAATCTAGATGCCAGTGCTCACTCGCTGCTTTGGAAGTTGTATTAACGGAGCACCAAAGGGATTTAAATTCCAAAAGGTTTTCAGACAACTAGCATAAAAGTAAGTTGAAATGCAACTAACACCCAAGAGAGGGAATTAAACAATCAGTTATCCACCGGAGTGTCAGAACTGCTGGTCTATCTGATAAGTTCCTTTAGATATGTTTTCATTGAACGGTATGTAAAGAAAATATAGAAACATTGCACTGTAACAGCTTTTTAGTGACCTCGACTGTGATTTTTTGGGTTTAGTAATCACGTGACACAAGCATTTCCCCTTACCTCTTCCGCAAATAAATATACGTCAGAGGGTTTGTTACCTAATGGTGTGCCAGCGCTTGGCCTGGCTGGAAGAGGTCAGGAATTGGGAACGTTTACCAGTTGAGAATATTGATGGGACACATGAAAATAAGTAAATGAATAAAAGCTACTTAAATAATTTATTTGCTGAGTAGAAAATAAGTTGACTGCTTAAAACTGTGTACTAACTCCGCCTTCTCCGGCCACAAAATGCGAAGGTGTTAAATGGAGCGGACCCGGCTTCAGTCTGGCAGTTAGAGCACAGAAAGTAAAACTAGTGGGTTTTGGCTGACCTTAACCATAACAATGTCTTTGTAAACTCGTTAGAGGAAACCACGGCTTCAGGGACAGACCTATCACACTGGTAAGCCAAAACAAAGCATTTAATGTTTTCTTTAATGTGTTTTCTATTGTTTTTTTTAGCTTTTTATATGGATTAGCTCGGAACAGATGGACTCAAACGGATCAGTCGTAGCAGCCAGCCCTCTGTTTTTGCTGAGTTGCGTCAGAGGTGCTGAATAATGCGTTTGTAACTATGGCAAACATTAACTAGCAAGCTAGCTGATTTCAGCAGTAGCGCACACGTGCTAACAATCACATAAACAACCCGTTTATACGTCCATCTTCCGTGATGTCCACTTTCCTAGAAAACGTTAACAGGTCTATAAGACGTTTTCAGCAGGTTTATAAAGACATTCAAAACAAAATGATTCATAATAAACTCGTGAATATCCTCAGTGCCTTATAACAGGTACACGTTTTCAGCTAACTAGCTGCTTTTATGCTACACCCAAAGAGATTTGTTTATTTTGATAAGGGGTTTTAACGTGAATTTATTTGTTTTTTTGTGACGAATTTTGCTTATTTCTCATAGGTGTTGATTTAAAGTAGAAGTTTTGTGCAGTGAAACCTTTACCTCTTCAGCTAATATAAACCAGTGTGACCCAGTTTCTTCCTAATCCCCACAGATTATCAGTGTAATTCTTATTCAACATAAATTAGCATCAAGTGGATCAGATTTGATTTAATTGTAAGACGCTTTTTTAACTTGTGAGAGCATCAAATATGTGATTTTCATCATTTATCAGATTTGTGAAGGAGGAACTGGCACCATCAACGCCCTGTCCCCCACCCCACCCCCATGCCATGGCCTGATCTAACCTGACTGAGGTTTGACCTTTGACCCGGCGTCCTTGCTGCAGACTCGTGATGGTGGATGTAACCAAGTGGCCCATTTTCAGCCTGATGGGGCCAGAGGATCTCTCTTCCATAAGGAAGGCGTGTGTTTTTGGCTCGTCTGGAAATGAGGCCATCTACATCACCCACGATGATGAGGTCAGAGGTCACAAACCCTTATAATTTTGGGTTAGTTATGCAAGAAGTTGAACGTAAACATTTTAGTGTTACTTTAAAAAATAATGCAGAACTTACCTTCAGGGCTGCCACAAACAACTATTTTAATTAGGGATGCACAATATATCTGCATCAATATCGGTATCCGCAGATGTTCAGTTTTTAACATATCGGTATCGGTCCGATATATAAAACTTGGCCAATATTAACAAGCAATATTTTTTTCCATCTTGTTTCCATTTGTTTATCTGTTTCAGAGGGTGAGGAGGGTGATGTGTGTTTGGTTAGTCACGTGACAGTGATTGTAATCATCAGTGATTGTAATCATCTCAGAATTGTAAATGTGTGTGTTGTGTGTACATAATAACGTAAATTCAGCTTTAATCATTTTCATTCTAAACAAAATCTGCTGCTTTTAGAAGCATTAATGTCAGTATATTGGTGTCGGCAGATATCGGTTATCTGTCATATCTGCCTAATTAACTAACATTTTTAGTGTACAGCGCCTTGTTTGGTTGTAATGCCTTGTGAATGCGCTTTATAAATAAAATTGGATTGGAGTAATATTAATATCTGTGTTACGAACCCCCCAGTCTAGGGTATAGGGGAAAGCAACATGACAGTCACAATAATTGAGGAGGCAGGTCTGCTAAAGAGCAAAAGGTTGTTTATTTGCTAAAGATGGTGTATAAAACAAGAAAAATGTGGGGTGAGTATTGAACTTTCTAGAAAAATAACTCGCAGGATGGTCGATTCCCTGCACGTCCTCTTGCAGAAGGACAGCTCCGGCACGTCCTGCGGTGGCATCAACCTCAATCTTAAAGGTTAACGAGAAAATTGGAGCAGACAGCACAGGAGTACAACAAAGCATGGCTTGAGATGCTCAAAAGACTGCTGACACTCATCAGACCAAACAAAAGGTTGTAACGGACTGGTTAAGGCAGTTAACGGAGATGCTACAGATGAAAAGTTTTTACAAAACCTGCGATAGTAGCCCACCATACCCAAAAATTGTCGTAGTTCTTTTCTGCATTTTGGAACAGGGAAGGCATACATCACTTTGATCTTAGCATCTTCAAGACAGACGCATCCTCCTCCCACCCTCTGACCAAGGTAAAAGATGGTTCCTTTACCAAACTCACATTTGGCAAGGTTGAAAGTCAAGTTGGCTTGCGTTAAATGTTGAAATGCCTCTCTTAAGGTTGCAATGTGACTTTCTTCCAGCTCTTGGAGAGTACAGGTGCTTTTTCCCTCCTCTCCTCCCTATCTTATCTCCAAGGCTCTTTGTCTTTGGGTGCACGGCGCTTCTGCATTTTTTCTGGAAACTGGAAATTATTAAAAATGGACCTGGTCAGCTGGTTTCTCAACGCGATTGACAAAATTATCTCAACAATGAGAACGGGAGAAGGGGCTCCTGGGTGCCCCTCTGGGACAGATCCAGTTGGGCATATCATGGACTCCTGGAAACAGTGGAACCTGATCTGCTTATCTCAAATGTCTGTAGATGATTTTGAAGACGTCTGGATATTCGTGGTGTTGGTGTCGGGTTTCCTGCTTTTTGGCCTGGGAGGTTACCCGGCTTACCGGAAAATTAACGAGCTGTCGAGAAACATTGGCTCTTTCCCGGAGCTCAGGGATGGATTACACCGCGCTGCGAATGCACAGACTCATATAATTGTCGAGATGAGTCGTAAGCTTGGAACATTGGCTGAGATTCATGCATTGGCACAAAAGATGGATGCGATCAAGGAGCGAGTGGACGAATCAGCACGGATTTGGATAGATTAATTTACGCCATTATTGGATTTTGAGAGGTTGAGGACCAGCGGAACTTTAAGACGGAGAAGAAATTATCTCTGTCTGGCCCCAAAACAATGTGAGGCTGAAACGAATGCCCCCCCCCCCCCCCCCCATTTCAAAAAGTCCCCATTTGTGATATCACAATCAGGGAAATTAGAATAGAACCACCTCCAACATACAAGAGAGAGCTGCTGCTCCTCCAGTAGATATCTAGGGTGGGATGGATGGGCGTGGCCATTTCCAGCTTGATTTTCTTAAAATGACAGCCCTGCATCACCTCATTCTGGAGGGTACTGAAAATGTCAAGAATAAAACTGCTGAAATCGTTTTATGCGAGAGGGATTTTGTTTGAAGAACTTCATAAACATGTTTTGTATCGACCATAGAACTGTTATGTCTTAAGAAAAAATTTCAAATATGGCACCTTTAATACTGTTACTTTTAGCCAACAGCAGATAGATGGATGAATGATTCATTTGATGATAGAAAAGGGTTAAACATAGTTAAAGCATTTCTCTCAGTCAGAAACAACAAAGTCAATATTATTGACTGACCTGTCTGTTGTTTAACCCTCTCAGGCTCAAAATAAGTTTTGATAAAAGGACGAACAACCCTTCAGGGGTACTTCTGAGTTAAAAAATGCTCATGAAATACGTATGTGGTGTAACCAGGTAGGTAGGTTGCAAACTGTTGCAAATCTGCAACGCCTGCCTCCAGAGGGTTAAACAAGTGTTTTTTAAGAGGTGTGTGTTGTAGATTTCAGTGTGTGTGTTTGATGGACTGGAATGTAACCCGTCACCCACTCGGCTCGCTGGTTTTGTGTTTGTTCCTTCTTATCACTGATCCACATGATGTTTCTTGTCACCCCACCCTCAAACACACACACTCACACAGGTGTATGTGTTTGGGCTGAACTGCAGCAGCTGTCTGGGTACAGGGGACACCCAAAGCACCATAGTACCAAAGAAGCTGGACATCCTGGGAGGCAGGAAGGTGGTGAGCCTGAGCTATGGTAGTGGTCCTCACATTCTGCTGGCCACAGAGGGTAACGTCTCCACAAATATTTAATCCTTCCCAACAGAAAGTCCAGGAGAAAGGTCAATCTGTGTGTTTTCAGACGGGGCGTTATTTGCCTGGGGGCATAACAACTACAGCCAACTTGGAAACGGGACGACCAACCAAGGTGTGGCTCCGGTGACTGTTTCTGCCAACCTGCTGAATAAGAAGGTCACAGAGGTGGCCTGTGGCTCTCACCACTCCATGGCTCTGACTGACTCAGGAGAAGTAGGTGTTTAGGAATAAATAACGATGATCACTTAGATTCATAACAAACCTGCTGACAGGAGCTTCTTCCTGTTATCACAGGTGACTCAGCTTTATGTTGAAGCAGTGTACCGTCATGCAGAACTGAAAACCAGCTAAAACTTTGCCGGGGGGGGGGGGGGGGGGTGTCAGAGCTCAGCAACAAAATCAGGCATTCATTGTGCTCTAAACTGATCCACAACAAAGCTGGATTCTTAATTAGGCTTTTCTCAAAATGTTTATGTATTTAGCAGACGCTTTTGTCCAAAGCGACTTACAAGTGATAATCGGCATGTTGCCCTTGAGGCTAACAACAACAACAACAACAACAACTTGACAAAGAAACCTGTTTCATGAACAAATTTTAGGCGTGGTTAAGTTTGATCAGAAAGACGACCCAATTGAAAAACAGGAATTTTTGAAGCAGAGTAGTCAAATGTGCCTTAAGTTAAACTTTCAAAACTAAATAATCTTGGAGATTTCTTATTATTGCCCTTCTCTCATCTGATAGGTGTACGCGTGGGGCTACAACAACTGTGGTCAGGTAGGCTCCGGCTCCACAGCCAACCAGCCCACGCCTCGCAGAGTGTCCACCTGCCTGCAGAACAAGGTGGCTGTCAGCATTGTCTGCAGTCAGACCTCATCTCTAGCTTTGGTGGACAATGGAGAGGTGATTTTCCTCTTTATGAAACCGATCTACACTAAAGCATGTTCCTGTTGTGACTGCTGCTCTCTTCTCTCTGCAGGTCTACGGTTGGGGCTACAACGGAAATGGGCAACTCGGACTCGGGAATAACGGGAACCAGCTCACACCCTGTCGACTCGGTGGCCTGCAAGGTGTTTGTGTTCAGCAGGTAAGAGATGACAAGGGTGTGTGTGTGTGTGTGTGTGTGTGTGTCAGTTTAAAGCAACAAATGAAGATGAAATGTGGGTACTTTTTTCTCCACACAAGTCAGATTGAAACAGAATTGTAGAATGTTTCTGATTTCCAGTCCTTCGAAATCATCAAAGCTGTTTTTCTTTTATTAATTTTTTTTCTGTTTTGTCATCCCAGATAGTCTCCGGCTACGCCCACTCTCTGGCACTGACAGACAAGGGGTTGCTCTACGCGTGGGGATCCAACACCTATGGACAGCTGGGCACCAGCAACAAGAGCAACCAGCTGAGTCCGATTCAGATCATGACTGATAAAGAGAGGTGATGGAGTCCCCGACTCCTCCCGTCACCGCAGCACCACCACCGACTCACTCCTCCTCTTCCTCTGCATCTTTAACAGAGTCGTCGAGGTTGCCGCCTGTCACTCTACTCACACATCGGCCGCTAAGACCCAGAGTGGTCAGGTGTACATGTGGGGTCAGTGCAGGGGCCAGTGTGTGGTGCTGCCTCACCTCACACACTTCACCTGCACAGACGATGTGTTTGCGTGCTTCGCCACCCCTTCAGTCATGTGGCGACTTCTGTCCACGGGTGAGAAAAGTAGCTGCCAGTTTTGTCCGAGTGGTTTGTCTCACGCATTCCGAGGAGGAATCAGAGCCGGGAGACCTGGGGATGGACTGTCCAATCTCGGGGGCAGAAGTTGCTGAGGTAGTCAAACAACTACACAGTGGCGGAGCCCCGGGGGCGGATGAGGTTCGTCCTGGGTATCTCAAGGCTATGGATGTTGTAGGGCTGTCGTGGTTGACACGTCTCTGCAACATTGCGTGGTCATCGGGGGCAGTTCCTGTGGAGTGGCAGACCGGGGTGGTGGTCCCCATCTTTAAGAAGGGTGACCTGAGGGTGTGTTCCAACTATAGGGGGATCCCACTCCTCAGCCTCCCTGGAAAGGTCTACTCCAAGGTACTGGAGAGGAGGGTCCGATCGATAGTTGAATCTCAGATTGAGGAGGAGCAATGTGGTTTTCGTCCTGGCCGTGGAACTGTGGACCAGCTCTTTACCCTTGCAAGGGTGATGGAGGGGGCATGGGAGTTTGCCCAACCAATCCACATGTGTTTTGTGGATTTGGAGGCTTTGAGGGTCTTCATCCCCTCATCCCCGAGAGTCCTGTGTTCCCTCATCCTCCAGAGGTTTTTTTTTTTTCAAGAAAAAGTTTTAAAAGTTGGGTTTAGTGTGTTTAGTTTTTTTTTTTAACTAACTTTTATTATTTTTCTTTCATTTATGTGTGGGGGTGTTACGGTTGCCAGTCTGGCCAGGGAAGAGCAGGAGCCAGAATCACCCAGCTCTGGTGAAACAGCCTGACACCGACCCTCCTCCTCCTCTCTCCCAGGCTGCTGAGGAGCACAGCTGAGCTTAATCTTCCTTGATTGCCAACACCTGTATAAAAAGGCTGTGCCTTCAGCAGTCTGGGAGGCAGCACTGCAGGGGTTCTGCTGTCCTCCTGGTTTTTGGTTTGGTTTGGTTTGGTTTGGTTTGGTTTGGTTTGGTTTGGTTTGGTTTCAACCCCTTTCGTTTAGATTTATGTGGATAAGTTTTAAACTTTGGTTTAGTTTTTAACTCTTAAGTGAGAAGTTTTGGATGATCCAGTGGGATCTTTCTGCTGTTTGGTTTTAAGGTTAACTTTGTTTGTGGCAGTTTTACTGACCTCAGTTTTAAACACCTTTCGTTGTGGTAAAGCTTTTAAAATAAGTTTTTACCAGGTGTTTTTAGTCAGTAGATTGTTTTGGAACTTTTATCAACTTCAGGATTTTAAAACACCTTCTGTTCGGTTAAGCTTTTAATATAAGTTTTAACCAGGTGTTTTATAGTTGATAATTTGCTGTGTAATGTTAACCTTTTAGAGAGATCTGTTTGCTTGTGTTTTAATACCTTTTTGTTACAAATAAACCCATTTTAAACTCCTCCACCAGTTCTTATGTTACCCCATCCTTCACATTTTTACAACACCTGTCGGGTTTGTAACATAAATGGGGGCTCGTCCGGGATTATGACAGTGTCCCCAGGGGCACCGTGTGGGGGATGCTCCAGGAGTATGGGGTGGGTGGCTTTCTGTTAAGGGCCATTCAGTCCCTTTACCAGAGGAGCGTGAGTTTGGTCCGCATAGCCGGTAGTAAGTTGGACCTGTTCCCGGTGAGGGTTGGACTCCGCCAGAGCTGCCCTTTGTCACCGGTTCTGTTCATCACTTTTATGGACAGAATTTCTAGGCGCAGCCGTGGTGTGGAGTGTGTCGAGTTTGGTGGCAGGAGAATCTCGTCTCTGCTTTTTGCGGATGATTTGGTCCTCCTAGCTTCATCCAGCTCTGACCGTCAGCTCTTGCTGGGTAGGTTCGCGGCCGAGTGTGAAGTGGCTGGGATGAGGATCAGCACCTCCAAATCTGAGACCATGGTTCTCGACCGGAAAAGGGTGGCTTGCCAACTCCGGGTCGGGGGAGAGGTCCTACCCCAAGTGGAGGAGTTTAAGGATCTCGGGCTCTTGTTCACGAGTGAGGGTAGGAGGGATCGGGATATCGACAGGCGGATTGGTTCAGCATCTGCATTGATGCGGACGCTGAGCCGATCTGTCGTGGTGAAGAGGGAGCTGAGCCAGAAAGCCAGGCTCTCGATTTACCGGTCGATCTACGTCCCAATCCTCACCTATGGTCATGAGCTTTGGGTAATGACCGAGAGAACGAGATCACGGATACAAGCGGCCGAAATGAGTTTCCTCCGTAGGGTGGCCGGGCTCAGCCTTAGAGATAGGGTGAGGAGCTTGGACATTCGGGAGGGACTCGGAGTAGAACCGCTGCTCCTCCGGATCGAAAGGAGCCAGTTGAGGTGGTTTGGGCATCTGGTCAAGATGCCTCCCCGGGGAGGTGTTTCGGGCATATCCTGCTGGCAGGAGGCCCCCGGGTCGACCCAGGACACGTTGGAGAGGTTACATCTCCAATCTGGTCCGGGAACGCCTTGGGGTCCTGCCGGAGGAGCTGGTGGACAAGGCCGGGGAGAGGATGGTCTCGAGCTCTCTAGTTGGGATGCTGCCCCCGTGACCCGGATAAGCGGAGGAAGACGACGACGACGGTTTGTCTCACGAACCTAAAACTGGGTGCATCTGAGAGTAAATTTAAACAGAAAGCTGAGCTGGCAACCTGTCTGCATTTCTTTGTTTCAAGTGGATTTTTACATGAGTGGCAAAGTCTTTCTCAGAAAACGAATCCACTACAAAGATTCTGTCTGAACACGTTGCTCTGACATGCTGGTTAGTGTGGTTGTGTCCAGAGGGCGTCCTCCTTTGTGCCTGGTCATCTGAATTTAATAGATTCTTGCTAATTTGTCAGGTGATGTCAGATTACTAAAGAAGAGCTTTTAACAGTGGTTCTTAGCAGAACGCAGCATTACGCGAGATGTCCATTATTCAATCCAATTCAAGTTTATTTATATAGCGCCAAATCAGAGTCGTCTCAAGGCACTTCACATAATAAACATTCCAATACGAGTCAATTTATTAAGCCAATCAGTAAAAAGTTTCCTATATAAGGAACCCAGCAAATTGCATTAAGTCCCTGACTAGTGTCAGTCTTTACAGCGATCCTTATACTAGGCAAGCATTTAGTGACAGTGGAGAGGAAAACTCCCTTTTAACAGGAAGAAACCTCCAGATGATGCTGGCTCAGTATAAGCAGCCATCCACCACGACTCACTGGGGATCGAGAAGACAGAGCATGCGCACGCACGCACGCACGCACACACACACACACACACACACACACACACAGAGTAGTGTTTCTATGGTTACATTGTGATTTCTAATAAATATTCCATTTGGTGAGAGATCAACTTTATTGTATTTATCCTAGTGAATCTATAATTAAACGGGTAAACTAGTAGTAGCACATTCATTGTTATCAGGAGAGGGAGAATGTTTAAGTGGTTAGCAACAGAGTTCAAGCCGGATTATTCACTTCAGCTTTAAGTACTGTTAACCTGTAGCATATTAAAAGTCACAAAAGCGTAAATCACAATTACAGGTGCTGCAAGCACGGTGAGACACATCCAAGGACCCTGAATTTTGCATTTTTGCTGTGATAGTTTTGGAGAGGAGATTTACAGACATAATTAGGACGGTCTGTTTCTCCCTTCAGAACACGAGGACTTCTTGACTGTGGCCCAGTCCCTAAAGAGGGAGTTCGACAACCCAGAGACCGCTGACCTCAAGTTGTGCATTGATGGTAAATACATCCATGTCCACAAAGCGGTTCTCAAGATCAGGTCAGATTTCCTCTCCCAGATGTTTTTCTGATCCTGTTAGTTAGCAGCCGCTGGTATTTATCGTTTTAACGTCTTTGCAGGTGTGAACACTTCAGATCGATGTTCCAGTCCCACTGGAACGAAGACATGAAGGAGGTGATAGAAATCGACCAGTTCTCCTACTCAGTCTACCGCTCCTTCCTCGAGTTCCTCTACACGGATAATGTGGAGCTTCCTCCTGAGGATGCCATCGGTCAGACACACACACACACGTCTGACACAAGTGAAATGCCCGTGCTGATCCAGTGTGCTTGTGGGCCCTCAGGGCTGCTGGATCTGGCCACGTCGTACTGTGAGAACCGGCTCAAATGTTTGTGTCAGCACATCATCAAGCGGGGCATCACAGTGGAGAACGCCTTTTCGATGCTGTCGGCCGCCGTGCGCTACGATGCAGAGGTCAGCTCTCAACACTGTTTTTTTTGTGTGTGTGGTTTATTACAAAAATAATCTGTGAAATCTTATATATTCACAACTCGATCGGCTGCAAAAATCATTGGCCCACCTTCTTAATAATAATGCATTGAACTTATATAGCACCGTTCAAGACACCCAAAGACGCTTTCACACACTCTCACATTCACACACTGCTAGTGATGGTAAGCTACTTGTAGCCACAGCCGCCCTGGGGCGGTCTGACAGAGGCGAGGCTGCCATTTGGCGCCGTCGGCCCCTCTGACCACCACTAACACAGGCAAGTTGGGTGAAGTGTCTTGCCCAAGGACACAACAGCAGGATACCCCTGGCGGGAGCTGGAATCAAACCCATGACCCTCCGATCATGAGGCTACCCGCTCTACCACCTGAGCTACTGCTGCCCTTAGATCATACGGTCGGTTAGCTTGTATCAGTCCAATGTTTCTGCTGCTCTCCAGGTCAGTCTTTTATCTTAATTCTCTATTAAAGATGCATTTCATGAAAAAATAAGTCAACACGATCAAAATTAGCACTCCTTTCTTTTTTCATCTGCTGCCAATAAATTATCAGAAAAAAATCTGAGAAATGAAATTATTTTCTTGAACATTTGAGATCACACCAAGATCAGAAATGAATATTTCCACAAAATGAATAAAATTAGCAATTTAGATATTTTAAGCACGTTTCAGCGGAACGTTTGTTTATAAACATTTATGTTTATCAACACTGTTGATCTTAGCAGTTTGTGAATGACCTTTGGAGAAATAATTAGTTGGGCTAATTTGAATGTTCTAATTTTCTTTTTGTCGTTCAGGACTTGGAAGAGTTCTGCTTCAAGTTCTGTGTGAACCACCTGACTGAGGTGACCCAGACTGCTGCTTTCTGGCAGATTGATGGCAACCTGCTAAAAGACTTCATATGTCGAGCCAGTCGCTGCGGAGCCTTCAAAAACTAGCGCTCGACTGAAGGATGTTGCTGAGAGTCTCTAGAAACCTTAATCTTACATTCACCACTGGCAGGTTTTCTTTTGATCTGAATCCTTAGAACATTTAGAATGTGTGTGTGTGTGTGTGTGTGTGTGTGTGTGAGCTGAACTTACATGCTGACTGCTAGCAGCTGCTCCCCTCGGTGCCTTTTGCCTGTTAATCTGCACATATTGTGTGAACTAGGAAGCACCCTGCTGCGTATAAAATTTTATATTTGAAAGATTTGACTCATTGGATATCTTCTCCATTTTAGTTTTTTGTGAACAAATTCCTGTTACCTTTTTCTGACTCTGGATTTAAGGTGGAGAAAATTACTAGCGTAGCAAAAAGAAGTTAAACTAAATCATACAATTTGCAGTGTTTTTCTATTTAGGTCAATCACAAGTCTGTTACCTGAGTGGTGAAATGGTTTTATTAATATTATTAGTGTTTAAAAAATGTCTCTGGTCTGTTTATATCCGCTCAGAAGGATGTAGCTATTTTGGGTTCTTATGTGTGAAAGGGTTTCCAAGTTTTACTCAGTATTATTTCAAAGCTTATTTGTTTTTATGACCTCTGCAATGAAGCTTATTTAGATTTTAATGCACGTTAAAAACAACTGATCTGTTGATACTGTTAAGTGCCAGTAAATATTTGACCTTGACAATGAAATGAGATTTCTTTAACATAAATGAATGTGTGGGTTTCCTGTATGGCGTTAGTGTTAAGAATGAATCGTTTTTACAAATCAGCCAAAAAACCTCAGCGGCACAGCTTGTTTTTTTATTTGACTAAAAATTAACATTAGATATGTAAATGGAGAAATTGCAAAACATTTTGTCAACGTTAGATAAAGAATACAAACATCAGCATAAAAATGTGTAAAACTTCTTTAAAAATAAGATTAGACCAAAATTGAATTAAAGTCAAGCCCAAACTCAAATCAGGCTCTTCATGTTCAATTGTTCTTTAGTCTTGGTTTCACCTTTTTAAAATACAGACTGTTAAACCTTGACGACTAAACGTTTTAAAGACGTCATTTTGACACAGAAAAGATGAAAAATGTTCTCATCCCATCAGAACAGATACACCAGACACGACGTCCTTCATGGCTGCTGCTGCCACCTGCAGTTCTGCTTGTTTCCTTTGCAGCTCTGAAAGGAGTTTCAACAGTTAGAATAACACACACATGCCAACATAGAAATACAAAACCACATCTAGTCATTATTAAACTGCAGATTAACACCCTCTGTTGAGCGGGATTATAACCTCACAAGACCTGAGTCGACTCAGAAATAGCAAAAAAATGTGTCCATTAAATTTAAGGGTAATATTAATAACTGAGCAACACAAGAGTCCAAACATAAGAGCTGTTTACCTTCATGTTGCTTGTCTACAAACACTTTAAGTCTTCCAGAAGCCTTCATCACTGACAGCGCGTTGTCGTAATCTGTGGAAAGAAGAGGTTTATATCCCACTCATATGAAGGTGACGGCGAGATTACAGTTTAACCTCCTTACCCTCCTGGCTGGCCTGATCTGACTGGATTCTGCGGCAGATCTCGTTCATTTCTTTAATAAATTCAGAGAAGAGGGCCTGGGTGCATCTTGCCATGTTGCATTTTCTCCAGAAGCCGGCTGAGTTGATGAGGGCCGGGTCCGGGTCTGAAGGGGGGGCTTGAGGAGGGTTTGGGTCTGAGGGAAGTTCTTCTAATGGGGATAGAGGTGGGTCTGAGGCAGGTGCAGGGGAGGAACATGAAGAGGAGATATAGGTCACACAGGTGGGTTCGCACACAGCCAGTTCAATGGATGAGCTGGCACGAGAGCTCGCAGGAATGGGACTGAACTGCCCCTGAGAGGGCGGGGCCTCTGGGACAGGTTCATCAGCGAGTTTCTCAAGACTGTGGGTCGGACTCGGTGCAGGGCTGAAATCTGGCAACAGAGAGATAGACCCGTCACACAATACAACCAAATGTAATGTGTATCAACAACAACACAAATATTCACCATCAGCCTCTGAAATGACTGTTTTAACGGTAAAGTTGAACCTTGATGTTTCTGGACAGAATTTACAGCCGGCCACATTAAACTGCTGCTACTGGAGATATTACTACACTTGTGTCTAGCACATTACTCCACACAAGGCTGATTATTACAGGCATCGTTTAGGTAGCACTTCAAAGGTCAGACCTAGTTCCCTCTTGATTGTTTGAACTTCTTTCTCTAAACAAATGACCCCCTGGTTCGGCCGAAGCTGTCCGTGACTGAAGACGAGAGGCAGCAAACTCTCTGATTCAGCATCCTGAGGAGAAGGAGCACAGCAGTGTGCAGATGAATCGGACATGATGGACACGAATTTTGAAAAGGGGAAATACTCACAGAGTGAATGGAGAGATCATGGTTTTTCACATCAGAGGTCACGACCTCTACAAGGAGAACAGGACGTTTGAGGAAAAGGTAAATATAATATATCTGAGCTTATAGAAACAACTGCTTACCTACTCGGTCTCCAATAGGTACTTCCGAGTCTCCGCTGAGGAGAGCGAAACACATTTATACTCGATGCATAACACACATTAGTACAAGAGGTATAACTTCACAGGTCTGAAAAACCTAAATGCCAAATGATTAAAAATCCAACACACGATACCTTTTGGATGGATGTCCAGCAAACCGGAGTGTCTAGAAATAACCAATGAGGAAAAAAGACGTCAGATTATAAAACATCTTCAGCCTGTTGCTGTTCTACCCACAAACATCACCTTCACCTTTTCCAGTGACAGAGGGGGGGTACTTTCATCAAAATCAGAGTCAATTGGAGGTATAAGAGCTCCTGGGTCTGTTTAAATGAAAGCAGAATAACACACGAGTTTAAATAACAAACAACCACGGTGGTTAAAATTTGTTTTTTACGATGGTTAACCTGAGTTTGAAGAACTATCAGAATGCAACCTTTTAGCTTTCTTCTTTTTCTTTTCACTCCTGTGACAAAATTGATAAATGTTAAATATATATGTACAGTGATATTAAGATGCTGAAATAACTCTTTAATCTCCATTACTACAGATGTCGAACAAAATGAGCATCATGCTTTATTTACCACTTCTTAGTGGAATTTTCTTTCACAATAAAAGTTCGAGCATCCTTTCTATGTTACAGCATTAGGCTTAAAAAAAAAGTAAAATATGTTTCAGGTTTGCTAATATTTATTGCAGGACATTTCAGCTCACATAAATGTCCACACTTACCGTTCATTAAAACTCAACCGTCTCTGAAGAGTAAAAATAGAATAATTAGTCAGTTTCACAGGAAATGCAAGAAATGATACGTTTTCTCATTTATAGTAATTAGGGATGTCCAGATCCGATCACGTGGCTTCAGACTCGATCGGGCATTACTTCCCGATCCAGACTAAGATACAGGGTTCAAATTGCAGGAGAGCTAAGGGGAACCCGGTTCTCCTGAAAGGTTGTCAGGCTCCCCTGACGCCCTCAACTTACACAAACCAGGGAGAGCATGATAAAATATCCTGTTTCTACCCATGTTACATTAATTATATGGACTCTCAGCATACCGGGAATATTATATATATATAGTTCAGATCACCACACCCAGGGCCGTATCAAGGCATTTTGGGGGGCCAAGGCAAAATAGACCCCTGCCAGGTATTTTAAGTGAAGGTGCCATTTGGTTTTATGTTAAGACTTTTTTTATGTTTGCTGTTGCAATATAGTCCAAAAGTGAATAATTTATGTTATTTATTACTTGATTGTTCACCTCTGTGCTCTGAAAATGTTAAAACTGCATTGGTGGTTCTTTTTTAAAACACAGAAAAGGTTTCTTTTTTACCTTGTTGCTGACTGTTTCGTTCGCGGCTGCAAACTTCCTCAGAGCTGACGCTGAAGGTGGCGTCACTTCCTACTCCGTTCATCCGCGGGCAGCAGAGGACGTTGTCGCCCTCTGCTGCCCGCTCTCCCCTCTCCGATGATGCAGTCCCATGCACGATCCAATGTGTAGACCCCATTGTCTCTGTTCATGGTCCCACATCCACGTCTCCTTATCTCCATGGCTTCTTTTATCCATCTTTTGTATTTTTGTTGTTCGGTGTTTATGATCCTTGTGTTGTCCCAGTCCATTACATGGTTTTCTCTTGTGCAGTGATCTGTTACGGCTGACTTCTTTACACATTGGATCGTGCATTGGGCTAGCCTAGTGAACTAGACCAAATTCTTGCTTTGCAAAGTTTGGTCTAGGAACACTCCACTGGAAGCTCTGCAGCCCCTAACAGCATTCTGGCTGGCCAATCACAGCTCTCTAGAGGGGTTTCAAACACGTGAAGAGATGTGATTGGTCCATAATGGTGGGCCAATCATAGTGCTCTATCTGCTTAGTGAACAAATCACAGAGCTTTATCCGCTTTGTGGGCCAATCAGGGCACTATATACCTGGTGGGTGGGATGATGCAACAGAGTGAAACAAGATGGCGACAGCTCGTTTGAAACGGCTTTTACATCAATTTTGGATTATTAGAACTTGGGCTTCATTAGAATCAGGAGCAGATAGATGTATTTAAGTGCTTTTTTTAAAAGAAAAAATTATGTGTTTTCTCCTTCAACTGCAGACCGCCTCATTTACCGATGGCTGTTGCGGTGAGTATGTCACATTCATTGTCCAGTAGCATGCGGAGATCATTTGAAAGACAACGGTAGAACCCGCCCCACAACCGAGAACCGTCAATGGAGCATTGCCAGACTAAATAATACATTTATTTAGTCTGGCTTGCCAGGCTAGCATGGGACTGCATCATCGGAGAGGGGAGAGCGGGCAGCAAAGGACGCGGACAAACGGAGTAGGAAGTGACGCCACCATCAGCGTCAGCTCTGAGGAAGTTCGCAGCCGTGAACGAAACTGTCAGCAACAAGGTAAAAATGAAAGCTTTTCTGTGTTTTAAAAAAGAACCAACAATGCAGTTAGAAAAGCAACACAGTAAGAACATACCAAAGATGTTCAAATAAAGTTAACAAAAAACAAGGAACATTCTGGATCTGTTTCTTCCTTTTCTCTATTCTTTTTTATGTATCGAAAGTATCGGATTGGGACTCAGTATCGGCGGATTCTCAAAATCAAATGACTTGGAGGCAAAAACACCCTGATCGAGACATCCCTAATAGTAATTAATACCTTGAAAGAGCTAGACTTGGTACGTGAAGTGCTGCTGCTGCTGACTGAAGGTGACCGTTGGCCCGCTGAGGACTCACCTGCTAACAATAAAGCTATTTGAATAATAATAAAATATTATAAAGAGGTTTAGACTCACTGGGCAACACTTACCGTTGCTTTTCCTCTTGTATGATGGAGCATGCTGGTTACAATACGACCTGTTAAAAAAACCTTCACACCTTTAACTTTACTGACGTGGGCAGAAATGGGAAAGACTTCAGCTTTAAAGGGTTTTTGTCAAATACTCACACAGTGACGATTTTAGCTAAACTGTTCAATCATCTTGCCGGCAGGACAATATTCCTCGTAAAAATAAAACATGGATCATCATCCGGATTAATTATTATTAAGTGAAATGACTATTTTGTTAAAGCAATTTTTGTCAAAGAGCCATGTGTAAAAAACACTATCAGTCAAACCTGGGGTCTTCTGGCTTTCTTTGAATTATTTGGCGACTGAGATTTTGTGAATTCATTTACAGAATCTAAGAGAAAAAAAAAAGTATTTTATAAAAGCAGGATAAATGGAATGCACGCAGATCTGAGTGCTTACTTGTTTGACTGTGCTTCAAACAGAACAGCCTGTTACATAAAAACACAAAGAAGTTAATTAAAAAACAAGTTTTCTATTTATCATGATGAAGAACACATAAATCACACCGACCTAAATTCCTCCTTTCCAAAATTCTCTATAATCTCAGCTTTATCCTCAACGGCACAGGGGAAATGGAAGGACTTCTGACAGCGTTTGACATCACACCCAGAAACCGCGCCCCTTTTCCTACAACGGAAACATGTCTAAAACAGACAAATGAAAGAAACACATTAAAAAAGGTCCATCACATTTATTAACATCTGATAGATTCTACAGCATTTACCAGTTTGCGTCCCCGTTTCACCTCTTTCTTCACCTCTTCAACAGAGAATCCAAACAAGTCATCAAACTCTGGTTTGTCAGTGGTGCACGCGAGCCCAGAGGCAAAAAGCTGAAATGAGTTTTTTTTTTTAAGTTTCCTTTAAAACATTATTTTACTTGAAAAGAAAAAAATAAAACTGGACAGTTACAAAATCTACACTCCAACTTTCCAAGAAAAGGGCAAACTTATGTATCTTCTTCCGGCTCTTGGAGAGTACAGACACTTTTTTCCTCCTCTCCTCCCTATCATATCCCCAAGGCTCTTTGTCTTTGGGTGCACGGCACTTCTGCATTTTTTCTGGAAACTAGAAATTATTAAAAATGGACCTGGTCAGCTGGTCTCTCAACGCGATTGACAAAAACTTCTCCCTCTGGGACAGATCCAGCTGGGTATATCATGGACTCCTGGAAACAGTGGAACCTGATCTGCTCATCTCAAATGTCTGTAGAGGATTCTGAAGACGTCTGGATATTCGTGGTGTTGGTGTCAGGTTTCCTGCTTTTTGGCCTGGGAGGTTACCTGGCTTACCAGAAAATTAACGAGCTGTCGAGGAATATTGGCTCTTTCCCGGAGCTCAGGGACGGATTACGCCGTGCTGTGAATGCACAGACTCATATAATTGTCGAGGTGAGCCATAAGCTTGGAACTTTGGCTGAGATTCATGCATTGGCACAAAAGATGGATGCGATCAAGGAGCGAGTGGACGAAACAGCACGGATTGGGATAGATTAATTTACGCCATTATTGGATTTTGAGAGGTTGAGGATAGGGCTGCAACAACGAATCGATAAATTCGATGAAAATCGATTACTAAAAGCGTTGGCAACGAATTGCGTCATCGATTCGTTGTGTCGCACAACTCTTCCAAAAGCGCCCCGCCTTCCCGCCCGCCGTTGCGCGCAGACCAGAGCAAGTCTGATCAGCGCGAGGGAGAGCCGCAGATCAGGGCAAGGGAGAGACGGCCGATCAGCTCGAGGGAGAGCCGCAGATCAGCGTGAGGGAGAGCCGGCAGACTTGCGCTGCTGCGAACCGGTTCCACATTGTTGCACAGCGATCCAGGCAGCTGCTTCCAGCGCACGGTCCATTCTCAAAGTGGCGCAACCAAAAAACTATAATTAGCACACGATCGTTCATGTCCGCACATGTTCTCTATTTTCTGTCTTATTTGTGCCTGAAGCTCGCTACTGCGGAGCTCATCACCTGTGCTGTGGTGATGTCACCTCACTGACGCAGCATCGAAAACGCGCTCTGCGCTTTTCGGTCAGGAGATCCCTTTGATCTGTTCAAAAGTAACTGATGAGGTGAAAAGGTAAGAATCCAGGCAACAGATTTTCTGGAGAATTAAGAGGAGATGCAGGAAGATGAGAGACAGACAGGACAGGAAAATAGTTAAAAAAAAACAAGAAAACAAAACAAAGTGTTGAAAAGTAAAATGTAGGTAGATTTATCTCCACTACACGTTTTTACCAGTAAAAAACAATAAGTTCTACACATGTTATATTTATACATCTGATACAATTCAGATCACCTTCAAAACTCAGTCACACACCCAGGGCCGTTTCAAGACATTTTGGGGGCCAAGGCAAAATGCCCCCCCCCCCCCCAAATAACTGGGCTCCCCAGAAGCCTCTGTGTAATTCATGCCCTCTCCAGTAGTGTTAGTTATATGGTGTTTATAAAAGCCCCTCAGACATTACTGACATGTTCTAATATTATCAGATGAAAAACTAAATTATCAGACATGCTGTCTCATCTGCTTCTTTTATAAACTTGCAAAAAGTAACAAAACCATTTGAAAGCCACTATTTGTGGATTCTCTGAAAGTTTCCATGGAGTGTGTGACAACTTATTTTTTCATTGATCCTATGATAGGATCAATAGGATTCCTATCGTCTAATCTCACAGCTGAAACAAGCATCCTTAATAATCTGTGCACAGGAAGCTTACCGATGCTGTAGTAAAACAAAAGGTATAATAATTTATTATTAATAAAACCTTGTTGCAGCACTAAAGCAGAAAAATTAGATTTTGCATTAAATATGCAAAATATTTACATATGAGTTGTTTTAGAGCCCTTTTATTGGCAGAATCTGATATTAATTTAGTTCTTACAAAAAATGGGTCCCAACATGGTTTGTGTGGCGTTGCCATAGTGTGACGTCATAGGCACAGATCCCCTGTCCTCTTGTTTGGAAATGGAAATATGGTCACCCTACATTAAACAAACTGTCCAACCGGGCTTTTGCACTGCACAGAGACGCTTCGCTGCCTACGACTGAACGTCAGTTGAGAGTCAGTCTCATGCAGACTGACCAATGAAGAGAGGGCCTCAAGTTAAGACCCCCTCCTCATTGGTCAGTCCACACGAGGTGGGTCAAAGGTTACTCTGGGCGGGTTACGTGTTGTCAGGCATTCAAGTATTGAGTATATTTACTGCATATTACAGTAAAATATTCTGTATGTGACCACATTATGGTGATCCTTGGGTCGTGATGATGGAGCCCTTGAATATTGTTGCCCAGGGTACAACAAAGTGTTAATCTGGCCCTGGTTCCGCCGTCACATTCCCGCAGAAACTGGTTGATCACACCGGGGCCAGACTACTAGCATGTGGTTTTACAGCCACAATGTCCTCAGAAGCAAAAACGCTTTTCAAAGGGAGGAAGGAGTCATAACTGTTGCTGCAGGCGTGTTGTGTGAGAGTGCAGTTATATACTGGTTAATATATTTTTGGGTTCAGTTGCTTTCATGTGGCCTAATGTGAGTCTATTTGGGATCATTGGAATGATCAGCAGCATTTCTTGATGTGACTTTATGGCAGTTGCCCAGGGCATCATCGCAAGGAGGATGGCATTCATTTACTTTTGTTTTATTTGGTATTTTTTCAGTCATTTTTGGAAATAGTGATCAATTTTGATTAATTCACAGCCTATGTTTAATTACATTTAAAATAAATGTCAACAGATGAGATCAAACAAAACAGATGAAAATTGCCCTTAAGCTGTTTAACTTGGACCAAGCATTTTAGGTCACAGATAGATGTAGCTTAGGGTCTCTGTCTATACACCTTATAAGACAATTTAGGTGATGGCATGTTGTTTTTCTGCTATTTAACTGTTTTCTAATAATGTTGTGTTAAATAAAGTGAAGGAAGGAGAGAAATAACATTTCCCTAGCAGTTTTTAAAAATTTCCCCATGTAATCCGATTAATCGATTAATCGTGTCGAGACCCCATCCGATTAATCGATTATCCAAATAATCGTTTGTTGCAGCCCTAGTTGAGGACCAGCGGAACTTTAAGACAGAGAAGAAATTATCTCTGTCTGGCCCCAAAACAATTTCTTATCTGAATCTGGTGCCATTGAGCCTCTGTACTGAAACTCTAATATCCCTCTGGGATTAGTAAAGTATCTTTGAATTTGAACAAGTGCTACAATTGTTAATTTTCAAACAATTTCTGTTTAATTTGGCTTATTTGTTGTATATTTATTCACACCGATGAATGTTACTAATAGGTGAACAAGTAAAAACAATAATCATCATTTTATTCGCGAAATCCCAAAAAACAGTGCTGTCATGTTTTGATCCTCGAGGGCCACCATCCTTGAAATTTTGGAGGGCTTTCGGCTATAGCTCAGCTGATTGTAACCATTGTGTGATTAGCTGGCTGTAGCAGAGCTTATTTTGATGAACATATAATTAAATGTTTAACTCTAGTATGTTGGAGATGCAAGTAAACATGCTAGATAGTAGCCCTCTTTTGTTATGATGCCAACACATGCCAAGGAGTACCCGTGACTTCCTAAAAGTTCAGTTTCCACGGCGCGAGCCAACTCTCCCCATGTTCACATTCATGTTTATCCCAACATTTTCGCTATAAACATTTTCTATTTGACTTTATGTTTACGATTTTCAGGTTTAGATCAAAATAGCAGTTAACTGGTAATCCTGTGATAGCGCCTGCCGTTATTTATGCAGCTATTAGCTAAGGCCAGAGTTAGCTATGACTGTATTTACCAAGCAGTTCTGATGAGCCGTCAGGCCGTCTTTAGTAGACAAAGCTCCGGTTATCTTCGTCTCCTCGGAACGTTCACACAAAACACAACAGGCGAAACGGTCGCGAGTCATTGCTACTTGCGCTGACGTTTTCCTTAGCATAAAACAAGCATCAACTAACGAACGACAAAACTACTACCATTTCTTCTTCTTCAGTTTTAACTGTGGTTGAAGGCACAATAGCGCCGCCTTCTGGTTGTACTCTGTCCTACAAACCAAGGAATCCCACTGAAATCATCTATTTTGTTACTAACGTAAAACATATCTAAAAGGTCATCGACAGAATACACTTACATTTCTTTTACTACTTTTTCCTAGAACCAAACTATTCCTCTGCAGTTTTAAGGCAAGCATTTCATCTTTCTTGTCTATAAGAAGACACTCTTCACTGTCTTTCTGTCCCATTGAATGCTCACACAGTAATTATATAACAGTATTATTGTTATGATTCATAACAACAATAATATTTATATTATAGAAATACGTTATAATAATGTTTTTCTAGATTATTGCAGTTTGTGAATGAGTAGAATTACCTTTAATTACAAACTTGCTTCCCAGTAAAGCAGCTTTATCTTCATTAATAGTTACATTATGTGAAATATTTGCAATAAAAAGATGACACACAGAGAGACAGATTTATCGTAATTTGTTTATGTAAAAAATTAGACATGTCACCAAGTCGTGACAACACCATACTCAGTGTACAATATAGCATCTTAATAACAAACATTTCATGAGAGACAATTATTAACGCACAATATCTACATTCAGAATAACATCCCTACACAGGGAATAAGTTAGCACTATACAGTGGTTTCTGATTCTTGTTTCAAGTATGAAATCCCACGAGGACACCCAAGGAGGAAGGGTCACACACACAAAGTCTGGACACAACAGAGTTTTAAGACAGGCTGATAATGGGCAGAAAGCAGGAAATGAAAGGATGAGAATAAGAAAAACAGATGAGTGGATGAATGTAAATGTCACAAACACGAAGAGATGCATTCAAGCTAAACAACTTCCACATGTTTATATTTACCCCGTCTTTAAAATAATACAGTGACAGTTAAATATGAACTGATAAATGATTGTTCATCCTCATGAGATGATTAATAAGTCACAATTTGTTCCAATAGATGCATCAACTGAATCAGTCCTGCTGGCCCACTCACACATCTGTCATTTGATCAGAATAACCAGAGAGATCTTTCATTAGAAGATCTCACCACACAGTGAAGTAACTTCAACCTGTGAACCTGCTGGCTATCTTTAATACATGAATGCACAGTGGCTAACTCTGAGAGACAATGCTATGTGGGGTGTTTTGTGATAAAAATAATCAAAAAATACAGATTTCTGTGCAAAATTTAAACGAGTCTTAATCCTGGCAATACAGCACAGATGCCACTGCGTGATTAAGAAGGAAGAAGGTCCGAGGACTTCAGGGTTTGACTTCTGAGAAGTTTGTGTAGGTCTCGCTGCAGCTGGAGGACGTGCTGAGGTTCCCCGAGCCGCTGCCTTCTGTTGGAAACACACACAGACTGAAGAGTGACCTCAGATGGAACAGCTAGGGGTGGATTATTTTCATTTGTTTCTGTAAATACCTGAACTGGTGAGGGACTGGCAGGACTTGGATTTGCCCATGAGGGCGAGGAGATTAGCAGCAGCCATCCAGCCCTCCTGAGACGTGTTCAGGTTACGCACAAACCTGGATGGATGCAAAACACACGTGCTGTCAGTACCTTCAGCAGACTGTCCTGCACATCTGCGCAGCCATGTACATTTATAGCCTTCTGTCTTTTGCAGGAATTATTTAAAATTTTTGAATAATTTTTCTAAAGAGAACAACGCAGGTGTCGGGACTCACATTGATTGTGAGATGTATTATACTGATATGTCATTGAAATTTAACTGACATTTATGCATCGGGCCAATCACTGATTTTTACTAGCTCACCCTGGCTGTCAATCCACTTCTAGTCTAAATCCTGACTGACTGCAGCTTCATCTTGCACAATTTATTTGTGTTTGTTTGTTTGTCCTCTTCCTGAGGGCTAACCAGGAGTTTAGGTCTATCCTTATGACGTTGCGCCGTGATGCTGTTCAACACTAATCTGTTCTTGGATGGCTGGAGGAGTTCCTCCTGGAGGATGTTTAGGTACCATAATTCATTCATGGCTGTGTTATGAGTCACTCCCCTCCTGTGGTTGAGTGGCAGCTCTACATATAAATGGTTTCAGGATGATTTATCCCTAGCAGGAGACAGGACTGATGGGAAACCATTTTCCAGATGTTCCCAACTATCAGAAAAAGAATTAGCAGTATGGACATTTAACTGATTTTCAGCCATGTTTTTCTCCCTTGGGGATTAGTGGCTTCTTTGCTGCCCCTCTTGTAATCTGGCTGTCCCCTAAAAGTCTCCTCATTGTCCTGCAGGTGGACTCACACCTGCTTGGTGTCCTTCCTGAGCAGCTCTGCTCTGATGGAGCCCTCGTCCTGCAGCTGGGACCAGTTTAGATGCTCCTGCTGCCTTTTGGAAACCCTAATAGCCTCTGTAAATAATTGTAAATCATCCGATCATTCTTTGGGACATTCTGAAACCAAGGCAGTAAGAAATCCTTTTTTTGATCGTTTGATCATTCTGAATTTTGTGTCAGTTACAGAAAACAGAAACATGTTCTCACCACCGTCCATCATCCCCCTCTTTGACCAGCTGCACCGTGTCTCCACTCTTCACTGACAGCTCCTGAAGACCTTCAACCTCCAGATCAGCCATCACCGTATATTTTCCTGCACACTGTTTGTAGTCAAGTTGCACACAATGATGCTGGGTCAAACCTGACAAGCTATTAATGAATGAGCACTGTTGATATTCAGAGGTAAAGAAGAAGACTCACTAGCTTCTTGATGTTTTCTTCTTCTGGGTCGGAGTTCAGCGGATCCTCAGCGCTGGAGTAGTCGTCGTGTTCCTCTGAGGCGCTCAGAGACACAGAAGTCTTGTTCCATCCTGGGTAAGAGAGACAAAAGTGAGTTTAGAGTTTACAGTTTGTCCTGCACATCTGGGAAAGACTTGTGAACAAATATGACACCCAGAGACCCCACAACAAAGCAATGGTACCCTCAGCTACAACCAGAACGTTAAGATGCAGCAGCTGGCATGCAGGCTCAGTTTTGAACCAGAGGAGTAAAGTAACAGGCAATCCTTCCCTTCATTTCCCTAAGTTTGAAAGAACTAAGGCTTCAGAGCAGTGACAACACGGTCGGAGCCTGAGTACCTCTCCACTTTGTCTGTAAGAGACTAGAGGTGCTGAACCACCTGCTTCTGGTCAGGTGGAGGGGAGGAGGACCTGGATTCGAGGGACACGAGGCACAGCTGATCACAGCCAATCAAACTCATCAACATTTGAGATGACGGCTGAGACAAACCGTCTAATCAGCAGAGGACGCTACCTTTGAAGCCAAAAGGAGTAGGATCACTCCGACGTTTTGACTTGTGATCTGGGCTGGTTGGAGATCCTGCGGCGTGGGGGAAAAGGAGAAAAAAAGGAGGACATTGATGCATGAAATGTGTTCGAGTTCAAATGCAAACACAGGACAGGTAAGAGAGCAAACAGGTGAGTTTAAATGATGCAAATGAGGAAAAGTGCTGAAAGTTTCTGCCAAGAGCAGCGACTCAGTGTTGGTAGAAAGGAGGAAACTTTTCTATAAATAGGAAAATGATTCAACCTTTTTCACAGCAGAAATGATACGACAGGCAGGTGTGATCGTCATTAGACTGCTATCATTTAGAAGACACACAAATATGATTAAAAGCAACAATAAAGCCCAGGGGTCTCATTTATCAAACATTGCGTAGAATCCTTACTAAAACCGTAATTAAGCTCAGCAAAAAATGTACTTATGCCAAGTAGGTTTGTGATCTATCAAACGTGGAGTACACACAACTGCACGCAGTCTCCGCTTCATAAACCAGAAACTATCTAGAGAGTTTCTCAGCTGCTTTTAGTCACATCCCGCCCTCACCACGCCCACTTACTGCCATAAATGGCCGATGCAAAGTGCCTTGTGGATCTTATGCATATACATAAGCCGGCTTGTTGCAACATTTCGATCACAACCGCAGGTCAAGGAAGCGCTATTTCAGAAGCAGAAATTCAGGTACTTGTGGGTGAGGTGGAGAAATGAAAGGAAGTGCCTTTGCAAAACAAATAAGAGAAAATCCACGGAGTGGCACAGTGTTGCTGAAGCCGTCAGTGCTGAGTTCTTCAGAGAGATCTGTGGCGGATATAAAAAAAAGGTCCAATCAGGATTCAATCCCCAGACTCCCGGGTGAAAGTCACATGCACTAACCAGTCAGCCAAACGTAGATCTCCCTTGTTCAAGTAGCCAGGGCGCATGATCAATCGGGTCACAGTGACAAGACACACACACTGTCACAGACACATGACATTCTGTCTCAATCTGTCCACCTGCTGATATTCTGCATTCCGTATTCTGCGTTTCAGGCTGTGTGTGTGAGTCTTCGTGCATGTGTGTGTGTGTGCACGTGTGTGTGTGTGTGCGTGTGGGGGGGCTTGTTCTGTGTAAAAACGAAGTGGTACAAGTGACAATGCTGCAGGATTTCATAATTGTTTCCTTCTCAGCAGCAGCACTGCAGGTGCTCTCCATGTCCAACATGTGTGTAAGCCAGGTCCTTAGTCAACTTAAAGTTGCGTACATTTTTCTGCTAAGTTTTCTTTCATAAATCCCAAAGTTTGCGTGGAAAGTTGCTTACGCTGTTTTCCGACCCCGTTTTGTGAGTAAGCAAGCTTGATAAATGAGACCCCCGATGTGCTGTGAAAAAGGCATCACTTCTGACTGAGACCAGACTGGGGTCTAGAGCTGCATAATACCTGATGATGGGAAGATTATGATGGGTAAAGAGTAACATTTGTCATCAGAGGACGAAGGTTCTGTAGACAAAAGTGTTTATTTTTTACATAGATTTGTAGAAAAAAAGCTTTAGGTTGAATTTTATTTCCAAAACAAGCACAACTATTTGATAAGAAAAGGCTAAATAGAACAAAATCTCATTTAAGTAGGCTTTAAAAAAATGATTTCATTTATAAAATGCATGTTTACAATGACCGGTGGGTTATGAGACAGAGGGCTGAAGTTACCTTTTTGGGCCTTCAGGTTACTGAAGCCCTGTAAAGTTAAGCGCTTTTTAGCCACAGCAGCTCTGTCTGAGGTGGGGCTGGCCACAGCCTCGTCTGACCCCGAAGAAGAGCAGGGAGGAGGAGCAGACAGGAGGAGGCAAGGGTGTTAAACGTGGGGAGAAATCATTAAAGAGGGATCATTTAAAGTTAGGACCAGATGGCTGTGTTGTTTTTATAAAACAAACAGATTTATTTATGAAGAGAAAAGCCCCAAGAAGGTGTTTCATGGTTTCTAAACTCACCTTTTTCTATTAGCTTTGGTGAAGATGAGGAATTCATCTCAGAGCTGCAGGACTCAGCCTTCTTCTCTTCTCCCTTCCTAAAGCTCTTTTGTCCCATCTTGAACGGACTGGACAGATAAAAGTAACTGGTTAGCAGTAAATAAGAGTCTGAAGTTGCTAACATGCATACATCCATGAATGTAGCAAGTACCTGAGGCTGACTGTTCCACTGGGAACAGGTGGGAACTGGAACATTGGGTCTGGCGCCCTCTGCTGGCTGGCTTCTGAAGGACAGCATAAGAACATCTTTAAAACGATCAGAATTCAAATAAATCAACCTGAACCAAGTCTGACTGTACCTCTGCATGCCTCCAGCTGGGTTGTCAGAACCTTACGGATCTCGTTGACCCAAGTGGTTTTCACTTCAGCTGTTGGTGCCTGACAAAGAACACCAGAATAAACATGCATGCAGGAGCTCAAATTAAAATCTTGAACACCTGTTACAGGTGAATCCTGGGCAAAATGTTCACCTGAACAATATAAACCTCTTCTCTGGAGTTGCACCAGATTTCAAACTTCTTGTTGTCTCCCTTTGCATTCTCAGTGATTCCCACTGCATCCATCTGTGGAGCAATTGTAGAAGGAAACATCAGCTTGTCAGAAAAAGAGAGTCAGATGAAACACCGCAGTGATGTAGGCGCTCACACTCAGAGACTGTTTGAAGCTGTAGGAGGGAGCTTTCTCGTAGCCCTCCCCGTTCTCCTCCCTCCGCTTGCAGAAGAGCAGAGCCTTCTCGTGGAGGAACAGGTGTCTCTGCATGGGCTTGAAGCGAGCCAGATCTTTTACTTTGGCGTGACCCTTTTTGTGCTCCGTCCAGACGCTGAAGGAGCCTTGCATCAGAAGTTTACCCAGTTCACTCATATTTCCCTGAGAACAGGAAAGTGAATAAAAGAGCAGATCAATCATGTTCTACATGTTGCACACCATAACTAGCTACTTTAGTGTGAAGAACAAAGGCTTCTAAATTTATGAGATTAAAATAAAAATGTGCATATTTCAACACAAATTAAAATGCACGTGTCATTGAGCTTTTAATGATTTTGACAGTTCAGGTGAACCCCTGAGGTCTTTTTCAGGTCACTAAAATCTTTTCTTGCATTGACTACGTGGACTGATCTAAAGACGAGATGCCTCTGACCTGCGAGTTTGTTTGTTAAAAGAGATCAACATCTACTTGTTGGATAAGCTGAAAAAAGAATTCTAGCTACAGTTTTAAATTGACCTTATATGAATGAGGACGGAAATTGCTGCCCTCCAGTGGCAATAACCTGTAACTACACTTTGATTCTGTAAATCAGAGAACATTCTAACCTCATCTCAAAAAAGCTAGAGAAAATGTTTGTTTGTTTTTCCTTCTTAGGATTATTATCATGAAGGAAAGACAAGAGGGAACTATTCTTATGTTACAAAAGTTACTACAAAAGTAGAAACCAATGACTACAGACTCTGAATGTCCACAACCTCTAAATTCTTTCAAAATAAAACAGCAATTTGGGGTCATCATCAGGGAAAATCAGTCTTTTTCTCTTTCTCTTTTCATTTAGCTAAAGACACAATCATTGCATTTACGTAGCAGTGAGAAATAGGATGGCTGTATGGAGTCAGAGCTCAGCCCAGCTAGCTGCAAAACTCGATGTTTAGTTGAAAGGGGAGGGGATTTTGCCGCCCTCCAGCGGCTATAAGCTGTAATTGCACTTCAGTTCTGGTAAAATGTTAGCTTCCTTATCTGATTGAAGCTGAAAAAAAATCCCAATCTTTATTTTTTTGTCCTATTGGGAATATCGATAATTAGGAGAAGAAGAAGGAGGAGGAGGAGAAGAGGGAACTACATTTGTAAGTTACAAGAGTTACCTTGTACGCGCACTTCCTGTAAATTCTATGTTAGCAACAGCCCCTTTTCTATTTTTATTTAGTGAAAAACACAAAATATATATATTCACGTAACAATGTTAAACACAGTGGTTGTGTGGAGTCAGTGCCAATCCTAGCTAGCTAAAACGACAAACTATGGGAAAGGAGAGGGGATATGGCGCTCTCCAGTGGCGATAAGCTGAAACTACAGTCTTGTTCTGATAGAGAACACAGTCTAGTCTCCTCATCTCAGTCAAGCTGAAAAAAATCTAATTGTTTTATTATGTCTTCTTGGGAAGATTAATATGAAGGAGAAAGATTGGAAGGTTTATAATTATTACACAATCCTTTTTGTCACATCAGGAAAAGACTGAACACAACATATCCATCATCAGAGCCTGGTTCTAAACCCTCACCTCATATCCTGTGATAGCGATCAGGTGCATCGAGTCATTCACAGCCTTTAGGATTCCTAAGATGGAGGTGAGCGCCTGCTGCAGGTCTTCGGCCCCGTCACAACTCCTACTATACTTCAGCATTTCCTGCAGACACAAACACCCAAAGCAGAAGCTCAGAGCGCTGATGGAGACAAGCACGTCTCACTTCGAAGGTGAGGACCTCCTACCTTCAGCAGCAGCTGATATTTGGTAATCCTCTGAACCGGCTTTAACAGATACGAATCTAAACCTAGCTTGTGTTCCAGCTTTTTCTGGCACTCCTGCAGACATGAAATTAGAAAAAGTGTCAAATGTTAAAAGCTTGTGCTGAGTTGATTTTTGATGATTATTCACCTGGAAGAAGGCGCAGTCTGAGCACTGCCTCCAGAGGCTTTCAGAGCGAGGTTTGTTGTGACAATACTTCTCATAGATCTGCAGGTCGGTCATCTGGGAAGACCAAAGATAATGATTATTATTTTAGAAAACCTTCATCGCTTCATGCAGTTCAAAGACATGTCTCACTTTCAATACAATTAAACTAAATCTATAATCAAAACTAACAATATTGTTAATGTTAATAATGTTGTTTTTGCCCTGAATAAACACATTTTTGTGAGCTGCTGCTTTCTTTTGCTTCCTTGATTTGCTGTCTAACATTGTGAAAAAAACAACCAAAAACAAATACAGAATAAACAAACAAATAAATCAATTAATAAATGTTGGTTTTTGTGTTGCCATTGAACTCACCCGCTCCAGAAAGCACCTCCCCACCAGCTCGGGGCAGTCTGTGTACTGCTCCAACTCTCTCAGAAAGGTTCTGGGGAAATAATATGTAGTTTTAATGAAATATCAATAAATTTAATAAATAAAAAGTTTTAGACATTAACCTCTTATGAAAGTGGTAAATTTCTGGCATGTTGCCAAACAGAACCTCCTTTTTGTTCTGCAGATTTGGAGGGATGAGGTGAGACAGTGAGGCGTTGTCCATCTCAGAGGCGTATCCCTGTAGCAGCAGGATAAAAAAAACCACCATGTTACCTGTTCAGAGAGCATGAAAAGTGTCTGCGGATTAAATAAACACCTGTAACACACAGAGGAGCTCCTCTACGTAGGCTCTCTCTGTTTCCAGCAGCTCGTTCATGACGTGCCTGCAGACAAAGCCCAGGGCAAATCAAAGGAAGGCACTAAAATAAAAAAAGATGCCCATCTGATGAGTAATCAGATTACAGATGAAAGATCTCTCACCGACGAAGCACAGCCAGGTTCTCCTCCTTCTCTGACAGAGACGTGTGTCTGCTGTTTCCGTCTTCCATCTGCAGCTCACCATTTTCCTTTGTAAGCAACAAAACATAAATCTGGTTAATTCTACAAACTTTCACAGATTCGTGATGCTGCACGCAATAAAGAGCGCTCACCTTTTCACAGCCGTTGGAGTCAAAACAGCTTTGCTGTGTTTTGTGAGCTGAGAGGGGGAAATGACACCTTTTAGCTATTGAAATGAAACACTTAAAGCCTTTATATATAATAAGACTTCCAATAATCTCTTAATATCCTAAAAACAGATGTGTTTAATCCAGTAAAAATCCTCATGTAATAGACAGCATTCTGAGGGTTTTAACTGAGGAAAACAGGATTATGAATAAAGAAGGTGTGCGTCTGAGTTCAGACCCACCAGGTGAGCTGAGCGGAGATTTGATGAAAGCTTCGGGTCTCGGCGCCACCGGCTGCACCGGCCTGGTTTGTTTGGCTGCCAGCTTCTTCAGGCTGATCCTCCTCTTGTCAAACATCTCCTGCATGGATGTCTGCTTCTGGGAGACTTTCTCCACTTGGTCCTGAGAAACCATCAGAGCTTCCATCAGTAACCAGTGCTGCTCACTTTTAAAAGGATTAGCTGAGACATGTGAGAAGCATCCAATCATTCGTGTTCATTTATAACCGTGGAGTTCTTAGCAACAAACAAAAGTCGTTCTGACCAGCAGGGGGCATGACTGAGCATTCAGAGATGGGTGCTGGTTTTCCCACCTTGAACTGCTGGTTCAGCACCTCCTCGTACTCCTCCCAGATGGTGCCAAGGTCAGTCAGCTGATTTGCACCGGCGTTGTCCAGGTAACGCTCCAGCTCCAGCAAAGCCAGCTCCGCCCCCTCATGAGACTGGCACTTATCCACTGGCTGAGATGCCAGCAGATAAATGCCATCATCAACCCATTTAGATGCCTGGTGATGACAGCAGAGGAGGAGGGTGGTTAAACCAGTCAAAAGAAGAGTTTGTGATGGATGGACGTGTCGTCTTCTCACCCTCTCCAGCCGATAGTGCAGCTCCAAGGCTTTGAGCAGGTAGTCCTTTTTGGACTTCAAACTGCTGCTCACGCTCTCACTGATCTCTCTGAGCTCGCTGCATTTGGGCTGAATGGAGTCCTCGGCGTAGTGGGAGTTCTGGATGAGCTCCTCTCCCTCATGACACAAAGCAGCAGCTCGGTCCAGGACCTCCTGATTCATCCACAAACAAATCATTTAAAACATTTTTAAACTAAAAGCCTGAAAGATCAAAGTGTTTAGGCCTCAGCGTTGACTCACGCAAACTTTCTCTTCAAATGTGCTGAGCTCAGAGAAGATGTGGTCAGCGTGGGCGGGGCTGATCCCGACCTCAGAGAAGGTTGTGAGTTTCTCAGAGGCCTGGTCCAGCAGGGCTCTCACCTGCAGCAGAGACACAGGTTTTAGAAGAGGAACATGGTGACGGGAGTCTAGCTGAGTGGGATTTCACTCATCGTACCTCTCTGTAGTTCTGCTCAAAGCGTCGCAGCTGGAGACACTGTTGAAGCTTGTTCTGGTGTCGAATCCAAAACTCATCGAACGCTCTCTCCGTCTCATCCAGCTGAGACAGCAGCCTGATAATAAACACATGATATTCTCAGTCAGTGTGTGTGGTTGACGCAGCTCGCATTCAGATCCGGTGATCCTAACCACATCAACAAACCAGTGTGACCAACCTTTGCACCGTGGCTAAGTTCTCCAGTTCATCCTGGTTCATGTTGTGGTCCGGGTCTCTCACCACGGGTTCGTTGATGCTCTCCAGCAGCCTGCTGCCCTGGTCCAAAGCCACCAGTATGTCCTCCTATTGACACACACACACACACACACACACACACACACGCACGCACGCACGCACGCACGCACGCACACACACACACACACAAATCTTTTTATGTAGTAAAATGGACATTTAGCCCGAGGATACATTTGGGGTTAGGGTTATACCTTCATCTTGTCTCTCTTGCTGGTGTGTGTGCTCAGCAGGATGGTCGTGGCTTGGATTTCATTTGGCAGCTCAGTTTCTGCCAGTTCAGTCCCAAACAGCTGCAAGGTCTGCGCTGTTTTCTTAACCATGAGAGCAAAGCCCTCAATAGCCTGAAAAACACACAGAAAACGGAGATTTAAAGGCTCCATTTTAAGTGTTTTTAAAAGAAATCCAAGCTGCAAAACACTGAAAGAATGACATTTGTTGTGTGTGTGTGTGTGTGTGTGTGTGTGTGTGTGTGTGTGTGTGTGTGAGTGTCCCTACAGTGCGGTGTGTGATCCACTTCTCATGGCAGTACTGCTGTGTCCCCCCCAGCTCCTGGGTCAGCTGGCTCCGGTCGATGTAGGCATGTAGCTCCGTCACTGAGCTCAGCATGATCACCTGGGGTCAACGCGATCATGATGTCATACGATCATAAAAACATTTACAGAGACCAACAAGGTATTTTTATTCATTGTAATTTCTTATAAGTTTGTTGTACCGGAACCTTCATCTTGAACTCATCCTTGTTGAACTTGAAGAGGATGTCTGAGAGAGTTCGCTGAAAGAGGGTGGTGGGCCTTAGAACCAGAACCAGCTGGAGGTTCCCGGGGAACGAGCCCTGGAATTATGATGCAGACGAAGAAGTGATGCAACACCAATGCAAATACTTTTATGCTCATGAATCCGATCTAACTAAACTGACATCCTGGAAGCAGCTGGATGGTAGACACCTCCTACTGTTAATGCATCTTTAATTAGCTAATGGCCTAAACGGATGGCCCGGCTGATTGGTCCTCCAACCCGACTGAGATGGGGAAGTGCTGGTCTAAGCAGAACACTGCTTCTGGGAGACACTGTTAATATAAATCTCCTGGGAAAAGCACAATTAGCAGAATAAACCAACCCGCCTGCTGGAAGAAGCCAGATAAGTGCCACGAAGAGGGCGTCCGCCATCTGGACCGGTGGAACGTACAAGCTGTGGAACATGTAGATGTTTTACATAATTTTCAATTATGGGTCAGCGGCGGGGCGGGGTGAGGAGGGAGTTTACATCTATTGTTCGGTGTGGTGATGATTTATGACTCTGTGGTTTTTGCCAACACAACTGCAGCAGATTCAGAAGTCTGGCTGGGCTCGATGGGATTTCTTTCCAAAGGCAGTTTTCACTGAAGGATCAAAACACAAATTCGACTTCTGTGTTTTATCAGAAATTATTGCGAGCATGTTACACTCACAACAAGTCACTATTTACTCCTGCTAGGTAATTGTGGGTCTTAAAGGCTCAGCTAACACTAGACAGCATGATCTGTGCCGGCCCCACTCTGGGCTCCATTGTCTGCTTCCTCTGCAGACAGAGACAAACATGTCTCAGAACAAAAGATCAGCTAAAAACTCACCTCCGGGGACCGGCAGGACTTAATTAGACGCAGTCCATTAAAAGCTTTCTGCCTGACCACATCCACGTCAGCATCGCAATTTGCTTTCCTTGTGGCCCTTCTGACCTACATTCACACTCGTAAACCAAAATAATAACGCTGCACGGTCAAAAGCCCTCTCCTCAACAAAAGCGTCCTCATCATGGATTAAACTCCAGCCTGAGTTCCTCGAAGCAGGATATTAATGCAAGGCGGACTGAATACTCCCTGCTGCTGTTCATCCACCTGTCAACACCAGCCTCGTGGGATCAATAAAGCCTCATTTGTCTCCATGTTCAGGTTTGTTTGGAGGAAACTATCTGTACAATACAGCAGATTTGAATAAAAGTTAACGTTATTCCCTCATATTAATATAAATATTATTACTTTTAAAATTTTTATCACCTTACATCACAGAATGACACTTATTGGCCCAAAATGATCATAAAAAGATGGTAATTATGGACATAAAAGAAGATACAATCCTGATTTGTTTGCTCTTGTGTGTTTAATTGGAATTTATGGAAGTAAAACTTCCAAAACTTCCAACACAACCTTATTAAACACAGTCAAGCATCACCAATCCGTATAAATCCACCAGACACAAGAGGTAAAATGAACACATGAACTGTAATGCTTTCCTGCAGCTACAGAAACACATGGTAGACGGTGATGGTGATGGTTAACGGTGAAGTCCAGCCCCTTTCTGCCCTTTCCACCCCTAGGAGTTAAAGGGTCTCAGTGGCTTGACCTCTCACACCAACAGCTGACTAAATGGCTGTCACATGTTGCCAGAGTTTAAAGTTAGGATATTAGTGTGCTGCTGAGAGACAAAGACAAACTCACTGCAATACGGAGTAATGTCCCCTTGACTGCTGCCCATCGGTCCTGCCTGCGGTCGATGACCAGGATGAAACCCACGTCTGTAGACGACAAGCTGGAACATAAAAGGAGAAAACAATCAATCAAAGCTTCTCGTTTGAAACTTTAGGGGAGATCCTTTTAAAGAAATGTGACCAGATTGTGCTGGTTTATTGTTTTATAAGCGTCATGATAAACACCCAGTGTTCTCTGTGCAGCAGCTAGGCTGCTTCTTATCTTCCCAGGCAGCTGCTTTGGTCCACAAAGAGGGATGCTGGGAAGCTCTTCCAGATTACAAACATCACCCTTTTCTCACCACAGCCCCCCTCATGCCCTGAAAACCTTAGAAAACCTGAAAGCATGATGCGTTCACAGCAAAGGCACACACACGCCTCTCAGCACTGCGGACAGATCCTGTAAGTCCTCCAAGCATCCATCGTTCTGTAGCTAAACACCAGCCCACACCAGACAGAAGAAGAGCAGTGAAACCCTGTGTTGTTTGTGCCGGAGGAAACCCAAAGCTTCAGACCATAACAGAGCAGGGGAGCTGCAACCTCCCCTCTGCTGCTTATTAAAATTAACCAATCAGACACTGGGAGCAGTCAGGACAAGAGCCAATTAGAAAATAAATGTGGAGAAACGAGCATCTGTGGTGGGTTTAGGGGCGGGGTCAGGAGTACTGTGAGATTTTTGTTTGCTAAGGAATGTCTATAATTAGTCTTTGTGTCTCGTTTACATCCTTGGATTCAATATTACAGTTTTCCCACCTTTAATCTTGTTATTACTGTTTACTATTAACCCTAAACAACCCTAAACCTAACCCTACACAGCTTCATCCCTGCAGTGAGACAATGAAAAGGGGTCTACATATTAGTTATTTATACACCCACATCTACATAATAACTGCACTTCTCACATGAAAGATGAGCCGCTCTACATTTTTGAGCCGTGAAAACGGATGGATTTGCAGACGCGGCAGCATCAGATCTACTCCACCCTCCGTTTGTCTGTTTTACCAGTTGAAGCTAGCTTCTTGAACAGCTTTGGTTTGGAGAAATAGAGCTGACTTCATTCAGGACCGATAAGCTAAAGGCTGGTTCGAATCAAGCCGTGATCAAAGTTTTTATTAAAACAGCTCGCCAAAATCTGCCAGTTGTTTTTGTGACGTTATAAACTTTACATCAGTGTCAACCATTAAGGAAATGCCACACATGTTGGTTTATTTATCATGTGTTTCACACGCACCTCACATTTAAGCATTATGTCGCACGGTGCCTTTGACACGTGCAAAAAGAGTCTGAAACTCAAATTTTGAAGTCTTTCAAACCATTTGTACCTTTGAAAATGTATCCGCAACCCCAAGAATTAATTTAAATGCTCTTTAATAAGTAGAGCTATTACTTTGTTATACATATTTAGTCTGGGTTTATGTTTAAACCTATTAAAAATTAAAAGCATGTAGCTAATAAACCTTAAATTCATGTTTAAAGTGTTTTATTTGTTCTAAAATCACACAAACACTTTCTTCGCTAAAAGCTCTGCTGAGATGTCTGAATGCATTATTCAGATCCAACCAGTCCAGCTCACTGCAGGCTCTATTTTTACTCTCTAGACTCCGGCAGGATGAGGGACGGCAGTGTCAAACAACCCCAACTCTAACCCTAACCAAGGAACTGAACTCTGTGAAATATATATGAAAAAATAAAGAATAAGGGTCAGTTTTGGTAAAACTGTGGTCTCACATCTCAACCTTTTCCCTCATCTCATCACAACTAACCTGTAGATGATTCTATGCCTATGCATGTGTAACAGAATGAAATGTTTTCCCCCTCCTCCTACCACAGGACTAGTCTGCATGGCAGATATGGTCTCAAGGTCTCATGCATTCGCTTCTAACCTGCTTATTTTCAGCTCAACAGAAGAATGAAGAATGAACTCTTTTCTTTTAATTAATCAAAGAACTCTATTTTAATAAAGCTAATCAAACCAAGTGTTAGTCAATAAATAAGATGTGACCAATCTGTGAAATCAAAATATTAATTACTTTATTATAATCTTATAGAATATAAAGGTACTATGACTTTAAATGTTGCAACAGGACTGATTTCACGTAGTATTAAAAGACATGACACATTACTTTTACTGATCCAATCAGAATCTGACAGATCTGACGGAGGCGTGGTTTTGATGGTGTTTGGTAAAACCCGTCAACTTTTCATTCGACCATTAACCAAAACATTCGAAGTATAAAACTATGCCCACGCCATCTTTAACGCCAGTTCAAGCATTCTAGAGAAAGCTTCGGAGTGGTCAATCCGTAACTCTCCTCTTTAACCGAAAGAACCAACGACAAGCTGGATAAAATCTGTTGCTGTTCCAACTGCTGCAACGGTTCCTTTCAGAATAAAAGCTGAACCATCCAGACCCAGGCTCGGGTCTCACCAGACGCCAATACAATTGTAGTGACCCAGAAGTATCTCAAGACGGGTGGTCGGCTGCCGCGGCTGTTTCTACAGGCTTCGGCTCCATAAGGTCAAGCTGGACCTTTACACCTGCTGATCTAGATGGGGACTTCCACTCAGGGTCTGTAGACCGACAAAATGGCGTCAAATGTGTTTATGAATCTCCTAACCAAAGCTTAACGTGAAGACATCACCTTCAGTTCCCATCAGAACTAATCGCTTCTTCGGATTTGCTGGTTCTGAAAAACATCACACGTCATCCATTCACCGTCTCATCCACCTTTGTTACACCATACATGTAGTGTTTAAAGTCAGTCTAGTTTAATTTGTTAGTAATAAAATTCTTAACTTTAAACTCGACTCTCTCTCTCTCTTCTGTTGTCTCTGAGTGAATACGAAGCCGTTATCTAATCCCTGCAAGTTCCAATCTTCTGGTTTAAAATAACCTCACAGATCCATAAGGTGGATTTCATATTTGCTATGGAATCTTTTGTCTTATGGCTTATTAAATAACATGTAAATTAAACCATCACATGACTGATCTCAGAATTGTGTGTATTGAAGCTCTAATTTCCCTCTGGGATCAATAAAGTATCTTTGTATTTGAATTTCTGAGCTATTTTAATAATCTTTTCACTGCAGGAATCTGAACTTTTTAATCTGATCAAACTAATGAATCTGAGCATCATTGCATTCCCTGGGCCTTTATCTTCCCCAGAAGTGATCATTGTGTGTATTAAATCTTCTACTGGCCTAATTAGGGTTAGGATAATAATAATAATAATAATAATAATAATAATAATAATAATGATAATAATAATAATATTAATGCATTTAATTTATAAGCGCCTTTCAATACCCAAGGTCACCTCACAAAACATGATAAAACTTACACAAAAATAAGAATAAGATCATTTAAACAATATGATTGCAAAAAATATACTATAAATTACAGAGTGGAGAGTTTGTGGACTAGAGAGTGTAAGCCAGTTTGAACAGGTGAGTTTTGAGTTTGGATTTGAATGAGAGGAGGGAGTCTGTGTTTGGGATGTCAGGAGGAAGTTAGTTCCAGAGCCGAGGAGCAGAGCGACTGAAAGCTCTGTTTCCAACGGTGGTGAGACGAGCAGGAGGAACCACAAGGTGAATGGCAGAGGAAGACGTGAGGGAGCGAGATGGGACAGCAACGTGGATGAGATCAGAGGTAAGGAGGGGCGAGACAGTGGATACAACTGTAGGTGAGAAGCAGGATTTTGAAGGAGATTCTGTGTTCAGTAGGTAGCCAGTGGAGACGCTGAAGAACAGGGCTGCTGTGATCTCTGGATGGGGCATGAGTGATTATCTGTGCAGCAGCATTTTGGAGAAGGTGGAGCCGATGAAGGAATTTATGGGGGAGACCAAAAAGGAGAGAGTTACAGTAATCAGTCCTAGAAGTGACTAGGCTGTGTATGAGGATGGCTGTAGAATGAGGAGTGAGAGAGGGGCGGAGTTGGTTGATCTTGCATAAATTAAAGTAGGCTGAGCGAATGATGTTGTTGGTGTGGGCTTTGAATGATAGAGTGCTGTCAAGGATGACACCAAGACTCTTTACATGGGGAGAAGGAAGGATGAAGGAATTATCGATGTTAATTGATATGCTGGGAGATTTATTCAGAATGGCGGGTTTCCCTAGAATTTCAGTTTTATTGCATGATTAGGGTTATGAATTAAATCAAGCGGCACCCCTCTGCCCCCAGAACAGAAACAATAACAGGATCAGCAACAATACCTGGGCACACTTGTCAGGTAGGTGAGGACATTGTGAAACTCTTTGTCCGAGATCTCCCCAAATGCAGGGAATTCTGGGAAAACAATAACTGGACTGCCATTGTCTCCTCTACCCCCTGAAAGAAAGATGATAAAAAAAAACAGTAAATAAAACAAAACAATGAGAATCTATTGTTTTAAGACAGAACCGAATACTTTTAAAGATACTAAAACGTTTCTCCTGCTTTCTTACTGAAGGTCATGAAGACATTCAGTTAGGAAATCAAATGTTTTTGTTTTTTTTCAACAGTGAGAATAAAAGAGAAAATACGGTGGCCACAAGAGGGCAGTGTTGTGGAGTATATTGGGATGCTGTTCAGAGAAAATGTGACTACAGCCAATAAAAAAAAGTCAGAATGTCAGAAATCAGTTATTTCTCTTGGTTTTAAGAAAAAAAATGCAACGAATGTTTCAAATCACATATAAAAATACTAAAGGAAGCATCCTGCAGGGTTTGTTATTCATGCAAAAATAAAGATAAAAACATTTAAGTAAATCGACAGTAAGTGATCATTTCTTTATGCAATAAAAATCTGTGTGTGCTGAGAACTGAGTGGGTTTGATCCAAGTTTACAAGCAGTGGGCCGAAAACCGATTCTGGTCTGAAACCAGATTTGTGCTCACAAATATGAGACATTTCTGTCTTCTAGTTCCAGCAGTGAATGGATTGTAATGAAATGAGCATGGAAATCAAAAGTATAATCCATTCCTCACTTTCTCATGTTGAGCTAAACAATAAAATATGTGTTGAGTATTAACAGCATCACTCGGATCGGCATGAGAAGGACAAAAAATGGTGATGCTGTTTGCACACGCGCGCGCACACGTGCACACACACACACACACGCACATGCGCACACACACACACACACGCACGCGCACACACACACGCACACGCGCGCGCGCACACACACACACACACACACACACACACACACACACACACACACACACACACACAGCTGCTCTGTCAGCGCATGTGCCTGGAATATCAATCTGTCTGCTTTTTCTTCTCTCTCGTCACCATGGCAACAGCAAGTGCATGGTCATGGTTTCAGCGACTGCTTCGTTTCTGTCCCACGTTTCCAGACTCTGCTGCAGCCACAAGGTCATCACCGTGCAGAGTGAACGGTTCAGAGTAGATGTACGAAACTTAGTTCATCACAAAAAAACATTCAAAGCAAAATAATTTATCAACCTGAAGGTGCGAGGAAAGATACAGGCGTGGGATTTGATTAGCAAATATTAACAGTGGCGAGAAAACAGCTTAAACGAACTGTCAGACCAGTTAGGATACAGATATTCACTGGTGTTAAAGGAGAGAAAATAACAATCAACATCCAACAAAGGACCAATAAACAACAATATTAACCCCACAAAAGCAAAGGTATTAAAGCATCACCTGAAAGGAAGGCAAACTGCTTCCTGAGATCAGACGTGATGTCAGCAGCTCGAGGGGGATCCGTGTCAAGCTGCATGAGCTCGTCTGAAAGAAAAATTCACATATTACGCATAATTCCACGACTGAGAAACAAACATGAATCTGAGCCAAAAACGAGAATTTTTCCGCTTTCTCTAGTGTAAATTCAGAGATTTGCATCAAAGCACACATCTTTTCAGAAGAAATAATAATAATTTAGACAAATAAAAATCGTATTTTGGCTCTAAACTAAATTTGGCTTTAACAGTAAAACCAGTCTGATGAAACACATTCGTCGATTCACAGAGTGTGCAGCTTTGTTTAATGCAGCTAAACACAGGGTCAGGAGAACATTCAGAACTTCTTCCTTTCATCCATCTGACCACTTCGTGATGTTAACCGTCACGGGAGCACACTCACATGTACGGCTTTATTTATCTGTCAAACACTTTTAAAGGAACACAAGCTAAATGTCAAACTAAACAGGAAGTTCATCAATATCAGAAACACCAATAGAAGTGTTTTTCTTTTGGTTTGGGGAGGAAGTAGGTGAAGAATGCACCAGAAGCAGTAGAACATACACTTCCTGAATCAATCTGAATAGAGAAGTGTACAGAGATCAGCAACGTTTACGAGGAAAGATTTAGTTTATGTCAGCGAGCCGACAAAAACACAGCAGGCGTTTGTTTCATTGCATTAAAATAAATGTCCAATACATGAGACGGTAAATATAAAATGTGATATAATGTCCAATCAGAGCGCCGAGAGACTGATGATGCATTTGTTGTAAGGCTGATTCTCTTTACTGAGGCAGGCGGTTTTTAATCCGCAGGTTCTCACCTATAAAAGTAATCTAGCAGGGTGAGGGTAAACAAACATGCACACATGCACACACATGCACACACATGCGCACACACCACATATATTTATAATAAATTAAAAGCCAACTAGTTGTTTAAATGCTTTCTTTTCCCAAACAACATCATGAATCAGACTTTTGGGTGTTGTTTGTTGTAACCTAATTTCTCTCCATGTCTGTCATGTTTGTACACAATGCTACTGGATGCACGTTTGTTATATCAGCCATCAAATTTGACATCACAAATGTATCAATTAGAAACCGAGGATGGATTTGTCTGTGTGACAAGAGAGATTTCATTTCTGCTTTCATTTCAAACTAAACCGAAGAAGTGTACGCGCACTCACACGCACACGCACACACACACGCACACACACACACACGCACACACACACACACACACACACACACACACACACACACACACACACACACACACACACACACACACACACACACACACACACACACACACACACACACACACGAAAATCAATAAAGACAAATGATAGCCTTCGATGTTTGTAATTTCATAAAGCAGTGTTGCCATGCCGATAAAAGCTGGGCTTGCCTCGGGTGTTGCAGCACATGCAGCACACAGGCTCTCTCATGCTCCTTAGATGCTCAAGTTCACAAAGAGTCCTCCATCAGGTTCCCCTCTCTGACCTGATATCGTTTACTCAGCCAGGGCACACCCTGCCCCCAGAAACTCCCACGCCTATCACATCAAACACCCCCAATGAGGCCAGAAAGAGGCTATTCTGTTACTGAAAACCCCCTCACTGATGTCCAACTCGGCCATCAGCCCCCTTTCAGAGACACTTTATTTGTCAGTCTCATTCTGTGTTAAAATCTTTTCTCCGTGCATATTAGATGACAGCAAAAGGCCTCCGGGCAGTCGCTACGAAACACGAGCCGGTTTCGGCGTCTGACATCACTAGAAGGTAAACTCTAAAAACGTATGTGACAAACCAAAGGTAAAATGATGACAATCGTGTTTACTGAGATTGTGTCACATCTGGACACAGTTATTTACTTATAGTTGATGTTTCCTGCCTCTTTTGCAATAGTCAAAAATAAAATTCCATGATGAATGCAAATAGCAAATATAAATACACCCCCCTCAAACAAACAAACAAACAAACACACTCACTCACATGCACACCACCTGCTGCACGGTTCAGGCTCTAATGAGGCTTAACAGAAAGGATTAATGTCCACTCGCGCTCACGTTTTTATCTGTTGAGTCAAACATTAGTGGGTCACCGTCACACACCTGGACCAACTGCCACAGATTAAATGAGGACAAGGCAGAGCTGCAATTGTAGCTCAATACGACAGAAAAGACAAATATAACAAAAAAAAAAAGAGGAGGGTGCATCTCCTGTTGCCTTTTGCATCAGGGAGTCATCCTTTCGTGGTTTTATCTAATCTCTGAGTGGTTTTTGATTATGACCCCAAATGGTGGCCATCTTCAGTAAGGTAGACTCTAATAAACAATCAGCTGGAGATTCGATATAAATTAAATGGCAAAACACACGTAAACAGTTTACTGAACTCTGTAAAGAGATGAAACCCCTGACACCTACCGCAGAGCCAGCGACAGCGAGAAGAAAACTTGTAGTAACTCTCAACCTCCTCAAGAGAAATCCGAACATGATGACACTCCTCTCTAGAACTCAAACACAAACCCAGTCCTTCAGCTGACTTTTCCTCCTCATCCTCATCATCCATCCCTTCTTTGTTTTTCAGTTTGGTCTCTCCGTTTTCCACTGATGCTGCATCAGCTTCTTCTCCAGTCTGGCTCCCTCCATCTCCAGAACTTCCCTCTGCTTCATCTGTAGCCAACAGACTCTCCGTGTGACCCAGAAACAAACCCATCTCTTCCCATTCCAAGGATCCACGTGGACAAACATTCCAATCTGGTTCGGCTTTAAACCCAAAGGCTGAGGCGACCTCCACATCCTCCTCCATGAAGAGGCCTAGGTCTGTTTTCCCCTCTTCTGCAGCATTTGCTCCATGAAGCTGGCTGAGAGTGTCACCTGAACAGCCTCCTTCTCATGTTGACTCTACTGGCTGCAGGTGCTCCACAGCCTGCAGACATCCCTATCTGGAAGGACTTCCTGTTTCAACCTCAGGTTACCTTCCTCGTAAACAAAAGCCACAATGTAGTGCTCCACCTGACCGAACCCTCCCTGCTATCATCCAACCTCCTCATACAAGTTTGATCTCTACTAATAACATTTATGACCAATGATAAGCAAGAAAAGCAAATGGTTTCAGGTGAGATATTCCAAAACGCCCTGCAGCTCTCGGTGCTTATTTCCCTAAGCCAGCCCAACCTGGGACATCCATCTGGTTTATCTCAGGAAACGTGCACAAAGCTCCCATTCTCACCAGTGCAGTCAAATACGGCCCGCATCTCCATTTAAAGCCAGTCAATTGAAGGCTTCTGTTCTTGTTCACTCCACTCAAAAGACCCCATTCTCACAAACTCACTGAAAGAACCAATTCTTAGGAGACCTCTCAAAGACACTGTGTCTGGACAGAATGTGGTAATTTAGGTCCAGTTTCAAAAAAGGCTCTAAGGGAAACATATCATTCAAGTTAATAAACACTTTTCTGTCTTTCAGTCACCTTGTTATCCATTAAAAGAGGTTTTTGGTGCTCAGAGGAACAAAAATGTGTGTGTGGGTTTAAAAAAGCATACATACTTGTGAGATGTCAGAGTGTTTGCAGGGCAAAGTGATTAGGTTGTGTTTGCTTGGTGTGCAAGGGCATGCAAGAGGTTATCAGTGCCATAAACACACAGAAATAAAAGCTAAAGCCTTGAGTGGAGAGGGAGAAGACAAGAGAGAGAGTTTTATTAGCCACCTTCAAAATAAATTTCTCCATTAAAGTAAGGAATTCTCTATAAGAATCACTTTAGAAAGGCCAAATGCAAGATAGGACCATAAAATAAGTTAATTTCAGTTCATTTTTAAATGTTTGTTTGTTTTGTATCTTGGTAACTGAAACGGCTGTCACCATTTGGAAAATGATAATGCTTGTCATAAAGAATTGCAAACAGAGATTAAAAAAAGTAGGTTTGCCTAAATGTGCACATTTGTGTTTTTGTTCTGAACAGAGAATTTGAGGAACCATCAGAAGCGAAAATGAACCTTGGTGTGGTGGAACTTCATGTTTAGGTCAGCAGCTAAGACTGAGATAGGAGTTCAGGGTAGGTGTGTCCAGGTAAAGGCTGAGGTTAAAAGTCTGGTTTCAGTTAGGCTACAGAAAGAATAAAGTCAACACAGTGTCATAATGGAATGGCAGAGCGGTCCTCACAGGTCTGGTTCACTGAGGAACCATATGATTCTTGTGTCACGATACGAGGATGGTCAGGACCAAAATGCAGGAACCCAAGATGACACGAGGCAGGAGATGATATAAAAAAATCCTTTACTGGAGGAGCCAAGAAAAAAAAATCCAAAGGCTGGGAGCCAATAAATCCAAAAGCTGTCCAATTACTAAACTAGAGACACAAACACTAGAGACTAGAGAAGACTGACAGAATACCACAATGGACCTACACAACACAGTGACAAGACAGGGCTTAAATACACTGGGAGGAGCAATTAGGGAAACAGGCAGCAGGTGTGTGGAGTGAGGGCTGGAGGGAAGGCAGGTGACAACAATTATCTAAATGGGGAACAGAACCAGAGGAGGGCAGATAAACCTAAAACTATAAAACACAAAACTAACCTAAAGACGGAGGGAAGGACTCTCACACACACACACACACACACACACACACACACACACACACACACACACACACACACACACACACACACACACACACACACACACACACACACACACACTCACTAACACACACATACACCAAGCTGGGGGAAGGACACACACACCCACACAAACACCGAGCTGTGGAATGGACACGCACACACACACACACACACAAACACCGAGCTGGGGAATGACACACACACACCGAGCTGGGGACAAAGAGGCTGGAGCTACAAGGACACAGAACATGAAGGAACACCTGGAGGGGCTGGGGATGACTGAATGAACACAGGACCTGAGGGGAATGATCTGAAGGGCTACAAACATAAGACACATAAATGAGACGCAGACAAAGGACACATGAGGGCGCTATGAGACACAAAATGGGAATCATCAGGAGACACATGAGGGAAGACGCAGACACAGACCATGACATCTTGTTCTTTTTGAAAAACGATCAGTCAATCTGAGATGCACATGCAAGCTGAAAGTGAACATTTGCCCGCATTAGCCACATAGAGAAAATGGCCAGGATAAAGATCGAATCGGACAAAGCCAGTTTTCTACGTCACCGGAAATGTTATCATTCGTGGACTCACCCACCTTGCGACCACAGGTTGTGTTGATTTTGCAGCCAGGAGACAGCAGAGTGCGTCTCGGACAGCTAAAGATAACCATTAGCATTAGCAACTCAACACGACGAGAAGTGTTCAAACGTTTCTTAGATGGGGAGATAAACATCAATGTTGCAGTTTTTACCCAAGAAAGAAGAGAGAATGATGGCAGTGGAAGAGTCATGTTGCTGTTAGCCAATCAGGGGCGAGGCATTTGCATATTATGTATCCTGCACTTTTCCATCCCCACTCCTCCGAAAAACCTCTACCCTCTGAAACACCAATGTGAGAACTTTTTTCCACAGAACATGACTCATACTAAAGACCACTGCAGATTTGTACAACATGTGTCTATGTTGTGTAATTTATGCTAGTAACCTCTTTAAGGGGATACTTTGCAACTTTTTCACATTTTAAAAGAAGCCAGAATGTGCTACAATTACCCTTCACAGGGTTACTGAAAGGTCACCCAGGCCCTATCACCTCCTGTGGCCAGAACGTCCCATTTGCAACTTCAGCCTGACTGGCTGCTCTGCTGGACTTAGTTTTGCTTTCTGTTCCACAAACGAACACCAGGGGGTGCTAAAAGCAAGCCAAAACGGCCTAGTTCCCCTTTAATCCCAGCTCCCACCAGAGAGGGTTGCTGTTGTGTTCTTGGACGAGACACTTAACCTGCCTTGCCTGCTGGTGGTGGTTGGGGGGGCCGGTGATGCATGTGTTCAGCACCCTCGCCCCAGGACTGCTGTGGCTACATCATATCTCATCCCCACCAGTGTGTGAATGTGTGTGAATGGGTGAATGACTGATTGCGTTGTGAAGCGCCTTGAGAGGTTGTAGAACCCTAAGAAGGTGCCAAACAAAAACAGGCCATTTACCATTTTAATCAATATCAATGTACTTATACATAAACTATGTATTAATCTCTTTATGTTTACTGGCACAAGTCCCTGATACGTGTCTTATAGAGAATGGACACCACAAATCTGCAATGGGATGATGCAAATATTTGAAAAGCCCCTGATAACAATGATGCACATGTTTAGCGCATGTGAACAAATGGCTGTAATGTATATTTGCATTTGATAAGAACAAACAGAGAAGCAGCTTAAGCTCAGGTGATGTGTGATTATTCACCAATCAGAAGGATGGTTGTTTAGAGACCAACGATGAGGACAAAACCACTATCTGGTGAGGAGATGAAGAACACGTTAAACACAGTTTTAAGTTACTAATGAATGCAAAATAAAAAACAACCAAGGAGATTATCTTCATTTGGAAAACAAGCTAATATGACAGCATTCAGAATCCTGCAATCAGAGTTAACCCTCTCATGCTCAAAATAAGTTTTGACAAAAGGACGAACAACTAAGTCCTTCAGGGGTACTTCTGAGTTAAAAAATGCTCATGAAATACGTATGTGGAGTAACCAGGAAGGTAGGTTTTAACGTTACAAATCTGCAACGCCTGCCTCCAGAGGGTTAAATAGCTTGAGTCTACAACAACTCATGAGTCTGTGAGCTGCCTGCTAAAGTCTCCTCAAGGTTAATGGGTTTACCAGATCTGGAAAGAAATACAACTCTCACATCCAACTACGTAGCTGTATCTGACACACAAAACAGCTAAGGTTCAATTTCTCCCACCCACATTTGCCAAAAAGTAAAACAAATCCAAAATAATTCAAAACCTTTGGATGCATCTATTCGGAAAGAGAACAAGCACAAATATTTGAGTTTGTGCAAAAAGAGCCAGAAGAAGCTAAGATGTAGTATGCAAAGGTTTAGTGCATTTGTGCAGTCTGCAAACTGGAAATGACAATAAAAAGCACAATTTCATCCTGACTCACGTGGTTTAAGTGTCACCATTGGTATGCCTCTATCCAATTCAGATGCACCTTTCCTTGTTTTCTTCACCATCTTTTCTTTGCTGCACATCTAAAAACCCTCTTTACAAAATAGTAAAATCCAAAGATTTCAGCTGGAAACAGTCCCACTAACTCGACAGCAAACTGAAAATGCAGCATCTTCATCTTCGACCAGCAGCTTGTGAGCCTTTGCACCAGCTCGTCTCCTAGTGAGGTGCTGCAAACTGCAAATGCTGAAGAATCTGCTGCAGAGCAAAAAGGTCAGTGCAGCTGCAGAGGTCTGCAAGTTGAAAATTAAAGAGGCTGTTTAAGCTTCACAGTCACACACACAAAATGTTACACACACACTGCAAGACACAAACAGCCCAATAGGGAGTGAGGGAAGCCCACAGGAAACACTTTGTGGGGCTCTGGGCAGGATGCCCTGCAGAATTCTGGCCAATGGTTTAATCAGGAATATGCATTGCTCAAATCCAAACTGTGCTCTTAAACTGACTGCAGGATTATAGCATTGAGAATGTGGATAATATGAAACTAATATTGAAACAGAAAATTTTCTTGTTTTTTTGCTGCATGGTGGCGCAGTGGTTAGCACTGTTGCCTCGCAGCACGAAGGTTACAGGTTTGAAACTTGGCTGCGGCCTTTCTGCGTGGAGTTGCGTGTTCTCCCCATGCATGCGTGGGTTTCCTCCGGGTACTCCGGTTTCCCCCACAGATCACAACATGCCCTATAGGTTGTAAATTGTAAGTCGCTTTGGATAAAAGCGTCCGCTAAATGAATAAACGTAAACATTTTGACAGTCTCACCGTCATAGTCTCTCCAGGAGTTTTTGCGACTTGCAGGGCTGAAAGGAAAAGGGGATCCCAGTCCAGAGATGTCCAAGTTCTGAATCAGATGACTGAGGCGGTTCATGATGCGGCAGGATGCCTCCCCGCCTTCACGCAGAATTTCATGCAGTGACATGCTGATCTCACACACTTAAATTATCATCCAGGGAAAACCTCTCTCTGCACACTCAGACTCCAAAATACAAATCCCACCATCAGACCTGAGAAAGAATCCTTCTCTTTTTTTGTGCCAAGTCACTCAGGATCACAGTGACACACTCACACGCATCCAGGTGTGACATCTCTGCACAGGATACACACAAAACAAGGCCAACGTCCTCTGCAGTGCCACATGGAGGGACTCGAGGAATCAGTGCAGTGCAGAGCTGGCAGAATCTGAAAGAGCTGAGTCACTGTCTGCACAACCTCTGAAGCAAAAACAGTTCAATGTAGAGGTGAGAACGGACCCGGCTCTGCTGAAGCAAACACACGTACCCCATCACAAGAGCAACTATCAACACCTCAGAGCAGCACAGGTCTGAAAGTAGAACAGGGATGGAAGGTGGAGCGCAACAGAAGCAGAGGGCAGCCGGTGGAACACAAATCCCCTTCTGCTTCTCCAGCTAATTATACTCCTCCACCCCTCGACTAATCAGGCTTTTCTTTCACTCTTTGAAGCCCAAGATTCTCCCAGCCACTCGATTTCTGGTGAGCCATAATGCAAACGGCATGGAAACCTGAACCTTAACTCATGAGTCAACATTGTTGAGGTTTAAGGTAAACACAGTCACTGAGATTCTTTTCTTGCAGGCCTTTAACGTAACGCCACATGTGTGTTTTGGGTGAGTGTTGTCCAGAAACTGCATAAGGTATCTTTTAGATCAAAGTGTTTCTGTCTGTCCAAACCTCAGCTCACTTTTCATGACCTCCTGAGCCTCATCTTGTCCACTGATTGGTTTATCTTCTCACACCGACCACAAAACATAAAGTCTCACAATCTAAAAAAGCATCACAAAGCTGTAACAGAAAGTTAAAACTGTGCAAATGAGATGCTGTAATTGCTCACATTTAGGATAAATGTCAAAGGTCAGAAGGTCAACATGTTAAAAACAATGATCACGTG